TCTGCAGGAGCGTGACCTTCTCAGCAAGGCTCCCAACCTCCCCATTCACATGGCAGACGCCCACACCACCCACCCCCTCGCCCGCGTTCCCTCCACAGCACGACATACCCTCTGCATGCATGTAAAATCCACTTACTGCCTGCCTGTCTCAACGGGAAAGGGAGGACGAGGAACTTGGTTTTTTTTTTTTTTTTTGAGATGGAGTCCTCGCTCAGTCACCCAGGCTGGAGTGCAATGGTGCAATCTCCACTCACTGCAACCCCTGCCTCCCGGGTTCAAGCGATTCTCCTGCCTCAGCCACCCGAGTAGCTGGGACTACAGGCACCCATCACTGTGCCCGGCTAATTTTGTATTTTTAGTACAGACGGGGTTTCACCACCTTGGCCAGGCTGGTCTCGAACTCCTGACCTTATGCTCCACCTACCTCGGCCTCCCAAAGTGTTGGGATTACAGGCGTGAGCCGCCGTGCCGGGCCAGAACTTGTGTGTTTTTTCTTCTCTCGTTTTCCCAGCACCTGAGCAGGGCCCGGCCCCGAACACAGGCTGAATTCTCAGTGACGGTGAGAACAAGACTCTCGGGAACGCGGATGGCATCACCTCCCGGACACCGAGGCCTGGCAGTGGCGGCCGGCAGCTGGGCAGGGGGACGTGGGGCAGGCACCCGGCCTCTCATCCACTCCAGCCGCCCCTTTTCTCACTGTTGGTATTTAGTCTCTCTTGTGGCTCAGACAGGATTAAAATCAGGGCTCATCTGCATGTGCGTTGAATTCATCTGCATCTCATTTGCAAACCCTGTGCTTGGCTGTTGGGACAAGCTCTGAGCTGAGGACAGTGCTGATAGGATCTAGGCGGGGTCAGGTGGGGGGAGACTGTGGCTGGAGGGGGCCCCCAGCTCGTTGGTCTAAGCATCACGCTGTTGGCGTGGCGGGCTTTCCATCCTGTCTGTCTTCCCCTGTGTTAGCTTTCGGTTCCACTCCTGGTAAAATGGGGAAATGAGGCAGGTGCGGCCGGGTCCTGGCTGGAACCTGGATGGAGGGCTGTGTTCCTGCAGCGGAGGCAGGTGTCACAGCTTATAGCACAGAGGGGAAACTGAGTCCCTGCTGGAACCAAGGTCTCTGGCTATCGGCCCTTAGTGGCTGATGTGGCCCGGACCTGGTGACCTGGATGTGAGATGGGATGGGGTGGAGGGAAAACTTTTTGTTTTTTTGAGACAGACTTTCACTGTTGCCCAGGCTGGAGCGCAATAGTGTGATCTCAGCTCACTGCAACCTCTGCCTTCCGGGTTCGAGAGAGTCTCCTACCTCAGCCTCCCAAGTAGCTGGGATTATAGGCACCCACCATCATGCCCAACAAATTTCTGTATTTTTGTAGCGGCAAGGTTTCACCATGTTGACCAGGCTGGTCTCGAACTCCTGACCTCAGGTGATCTCCGCCTCTGCCTCCCAAAGTGCTGGGATTACAGGCGTGAGCCACAAGGTCCGGAGAGGGAAGAACTCCTAGGCCCTGGCCCTGGGAACCCCTGGGCTCCTGCACTTCTGGCTGGTTTTGGTAAATGAGCAGCGTTGACTGGCGGGAGGAGGGAGGTGGGGTCTTTCCCTCTCTCCCTCCTCAGCCCGATCCCTGCTGTGGCTCTGGAGTCTGTGCTGCCTCTGGAAACAAGCAGATTGTGTGTCCAGGGTCGGAGGTGACAGGGCCTGTGGCTGGGGGCCCTCGAGACCCAGGAAAGAACCAGCGAGGGCTGGTTTGCTGGCACAAGCATCTCAGGTAGAGAGTTCAGGCAGAGGCCGAGGTGGAGACCCTCTTAGGGGCTCGAGGAAGAGCCGGCAGGCCCCGATGGCCAGAGTCGAGCAGCAGAGGGCACAGCAGAGGTCAGGGGGCAGGGGGAGGTGGGGACGAGGCCGTGCAGGGCCTCTGTGCCGCGGTGAGCGCTCGAGTTTTGAACTGAGGGCTGCGGGAATCCACATGGTGACTGTAAGCGTCTTGGAAGGCTGCACTGGGATGAGAACTTAGCCAGAAGCTTTCATATTCAGTCTGATTCAGAGATCCCTGGGTTCAAGTCCCGGATCCCCTGATGAGTTACTGAGGGACTCGATGGATGTGACTGCCCCCCCGAGCCTCAGTTTCCCCATCTGTAACAACAGATGAAGGTTCCCAGCACCTCCCTCACCGAGGTGCCGCGAGGACCAGACCAGAAGATGCCTGCGGGGCCGGGCGCGGTGGCTCACGCCTGTAATCCCAGCTCTCTGGGAGGCCGAGGCGGCCGGATTATCTGAGGTCAGGAGTTTGAGACCAGCCTGACCAACGTGGTAAAACCTGTCTCTGTCTCCCAGAGCGAGACTCCGTCAAAAAAAAAAAAAAAAAAAAAATTACACCACGAAAGGAAAGGGCCCTGAAACTACAGAAATGAACAAGGAAGAGACGGGAGGGTGAATCTCATTCAGCAGCTTTTCCGAGCCTCTTCGCGGCACTGACACAGTCGACGTCTTCAGTGAATCGAAACCCACTTGTGGTTTAAATGCCGCAGGCTTCTGGGAGGCCGTGGGGACGGCTCTCACCTCGCCTGGGTCCTCGCTGCTGCCCCGGGGCCCGTGCCCAGGCGTCCCCTTATGCTGAAGGCGCTTCTCACAGGCTCTGCAGGCTGCCTCCCTCACCTGCTGTTGGACGGTTGTTTTACTGTCTCTGCTGCGGGGCTGGTGCTGATACCCAGCCTGCACCCACATCACCACCCCGGGCCCCAGCCCTGCCTTTCCATCACACTCAGCACCTTCTCATGTGCCCCAGACTGCGTCCGCTGACCACATCCTGAGAACATCGTTTCTTTTCCTTTTCCTTTTTTTTGGGGTGGAGGGGCGGAGTCTCGCTGCCACCGGGCTGGAGTGCAGTGGCTCAATCTCAGCTCACCGCAACCGCCGCCTTCTGGGTTCAAGGGATTCTCCTGCCTCAGCCTCTCAAGTAGCTGGGATGACAGGCACGCGCCACCACGCCCGGCTAAATTTTTGGATTTTAGTAGAGACGGGGTTGGTTTTACCACGTTGGCTGGGATGGTCTCGATCTCCTGACCTCGTGATCCACCCGCCTCAGCCTCCCAAAGTGCTGGGATTACAGGCGTGAGCCACCGCACCCGGCCCCAGCTGCTGCTTTTCTGTCTGTTCCTGTCCAATTCTCACCACCCCAAACAGAGACTGGTACACAGTCGGTGCCCAGTAAGTGCGTGTGGGATGGACGAGTGACAGGACGAGGGAATGAATGCTTCCTGGCTCGGAGCTGCAATTCCCAGAGAGGTGAACTTGCTGTCTGACCGTGGGCTGCACCTCAGTCTCCCCAGGTGCAGAAACAGGGCCACGCCGCACTGACCCCGCCAGGCCCTCCTGCAGCGAGACTGTGGGTGTCATGTTTGTGGGTTTAGTTCCCTGGGGCCGGCCCTGGCCCTCGCGGCCCAGCTCCACCGGCTCCCGGGAGACTCACTCTGCTGACACCGGACTCTCTCCTGGCCTGTCCGGCCACCTGGCTGACACTTGATCCCGGCCCCACTTCCAGGCCGGTGTCCGTCCGACCAGGCCGCCTCGGGCCAGGGCCCTGCGACTCCCTGGGGCGGGACAAGGGGCTGTCTGTGTGGCCGTGGTGGTGGCAGGGTGTGGGAGGCGGTGAAGGTGGGGACGGTGCCTGGGTCTGTGGCTGCCAGAGCTTTGAGGGCTCGGGAGGTGGCACCGGGCCCCGTGGGTGCCGTGGAGACATCGCCTGCCCACCATGGGGACCCTCAGCTGCGACCACGCCCCACGGCTGGGCCACTGCATGACGGATAGCCAGATTCCGAAGACCGGCCTGAGGAAGTCCTGTGGGACGGCCACCCTGGAGAATGGTGCGTGCTGGCCGCGGGGGACGGGTGGGACCCTTTCCTGCTCCACTTCCTGCACTTCTGGGGCTTCTGGAATGTTCTGGGAGTCCAGCAGGAGGCAGGAGTTTCTGGCAAGTCCTTGCCCTTCCCCAAACCTCAGTTTTCCTTCCGGCAGGATGGGTGTGGATGTGGGGTTTCTGTGCCCTGAGTGTGTCTGTCAGCGGATGCTGAGTGCTCTGCGGGCCCGGCCCCTGCCAGGGACTATGGGCACAGCAGTGGGCAAAGCCACAGAGACCGTGCGGGAGGCAGGCGGGAGGCAGCAGTGTTCCCAGCCTGGCCCTCTGGGACAGGCGCCCTAGACAACACGGGTGGGGCGGGGGGCGCGTGTGCGGAGGCTGCCGGCCTCGGTTTCCCCATCTTCCATAAGCAGCCGGAGTCAGACTCCAAGCTGGGGCCGGGGCTGGTTATATGGTGTCTCTGTGGCAATGAGATTCGGCAGAAGCCAGAACACATGGCGTCGCTACCCTGTATCTGGGAGGCCCAGGGCTCAGTCTCCCCACCTGTGACCCTGTATCTCTGCCTGGGCCTCAGTTTCCCCACCTGTGACCCTGTATCTGGGAGGCCCAGGCCTCAGTCTCCCCACCTGTGACCCTGTATCTCTGTCTGGGCCTCAGTTTCCCCACCTGTGACCCTGTGTCTCTGGGAGGCCCAGGCCTCAGTTTCCCCACCTGTGACTGTATCTCTGTGCCTGGGCCTCAGTTTCCCCACCTGTGACCCTGTATCTCTGGGAGGCCCAGGCCTTAGTCTCCCCACCTGTGACTGTATCTCTGCCTGGGCCTCAGTTTCCCCACCTGTGACTGTGTATCTCTGGGAGGCACAGGCCTCAGTCTCCCCACCTGCGACTGTGTATCTCTGCCTGGGCCTCAGTCTCCCCACCTGTGGACTGTGTATCTCTGCCTGGGCCTCAGTCTTCCCACCGGTGACTCCGTATCTCCGGGAGGCCCAGGCCTCAGTCTCCCCACCTGTGACCCTGTATCTCTGGGAGGCTCAGTCTCCCTGCCTTTCACTGTGTATGTCTGGGAGGCCCCAGGGTGAGGCCTGCTGCCCCAGCCCTCCCTCTGTGATCCGCGTCTGACTCACAATGCCGGCCTCACACTTTGTCCACTGAGGGCGGCAGCCTCTTGCTCCCCAGGCCCCAGCCCTCACCGTGGAGGGAGAGGGAAGCCCAGGCTGAGGCTCAGGAGCTGGGTCCGGGTCTCCTTCCTCGGGGAATCTGGGCCCAGGCAGTGACCTGAAGGCTTTGGGATGCAGGCTCGGGGCCAGGCTTGTACGTCCTGCCGTCCACCGTGGGCTTCATCAAGCACGACTGCACCAGGGTGGCCGGCCCTGCCTATTCGCTCGTCCGGAGGCCCAGTGAGGGTAAGGCAGGTGGGCGGGTGGTGGGGGGCTTCCCTGCTCCTCCAATCGCCCCCCAGAAGCACCGAGGGGTCTCCTTGCCCCCCATTAGCGGGGCAGGAAGCAGGCAGGGCCAGGCTCTCCAGCCTGCTCCACCTCCTAGCTGCTGTGAGACCTCAGGCAAGCTGCTGTCCCTCTCTGTTTTTCACTGATAAAGAGAATGGAAGGAGAAAGAGCTACAGGGAGGTGCATTTCCTGTGTTTGCAATTCCTTCTGCTTGAACCCAGGCAAATTGCTTAAGTGCAACTCAGTTTCTGTCGAAGTTACAACAGTAACAAAACGTTAACATTCATGATATTAAAAACAATAGGCCGGGCTCGGTGATTCACGCCTGTAATCCCAGCACTTGGGGAGGGCGAGGCGGGTGGATTGCTTGAGGCCTGGAGTTCGAGACCAGCCTGGCCAACACGGCGAAACCCCATCTCTACTAAAAATACAAAAACTAGCCAGGTGCGCACCTGTGATCCCAGCCGGACCATGTATGTCTGGGAGGACCGGGTGAAGACCTCAGGAAGCTGAGGCAGGAGAATCGCTTGAACCTGGGAGGCGGAGGTTGTGGTGAGCCGAGGTTGCGCCATTGCACTCCAGCCTGGGTGACAGAGCGAGACAATGTCTTCAAAAAAAAAAAAAAAAAAGGTAAAAAGGCCGGGCTTGGTGGCTCACTCCTGTAATCCCAGCTCTTTGGGAAGCCGAGGTGGGTGGATCACTTGAGGTCAGGAGTTTGAGACCAGCCTGGCCATCAGGGTGAAATCCCATCTCTACTAAAAATACAAAATTAGCTGGCGTGGTGGCGTGCCCCTGCAGTCCTGGCTACTAGGGAGGCTGAGGCAGGAGAATGGCTTGAACTGGGAGGCGGAGGTTGTGATGAGCTGAGATCGCACCATTGCACTCCAGCCTGAGCAACAAGAGTGAAACTCCATCTCAGAAAAAGAAAAAAACAAAACAAAACAGTAGCCACATTGATGCACAGTACTTGGTAAGTGCTCAGTCAGGTGTGAGGCTGAGCCCCGGCCTCTCCACCATCTAGACTGTGACTCCCCAGGCCTGGCCCATCTCACTGGGCTGCCCAGAGCACAGCGTGGATGCTCCTGGCCGCTGCAGAGGCAGGTGCAGTGGAAGGGAGGGCAGGTGCAGTGGGAGGGGAGGGCAGGTGCAGTGGAGGGGACGGCAGGTGCAGTGGAAGGGGAGGGCAGGTACAGTGGAAGGGGAGGGCAGGTGCAGTGGAAGGGGAGGGCAGGTACAGTGGAAGGGGAGGGCAGGTACAGTGGAGGGGAGGGCAGGTGCAGTGGGAGGGGACGGCAGGTGCAGTGGAAGGGGAGGGCAGGTACAGTGGAAGGGGAGGGCAGGTGCAGTGGAGGGGAGGTCAGGTACAGTGGAAGGGGAGGGCAGGTACAGTGGGAGGGGAGGGCAGGTGCAGTGGAGGGGAGGGCAGATACAGTGGAGGGGAGGGCAGGTACAGTGGAAGGGGAGGGCAGGTACAGTGGAAGGGGAGGGCAGGTGCAGTGGAGGGGAGGGCAGGTGCAGTGGAAGGGGAGGGCAGGTGCAGTGGAGGGGAGGGCAGGTGCAGTGGGAGGGGAGGGCAGGTGCAGTGGAGGGGAGGGCAGGTGCAGTGGAAGGGGAGGGCAGGTGCAGTGGAGGGGACGGCAGGTGCAGTGGAGGGGAGGGCAGGTGCAGTGGAGGGGAGGGCAGGTGCAGTGGAAGGGGAGGGCAGTGCAGTGGAGGGGAGGGCAGGTGCAGTGGGAGGGGGGGCAGGTGCAGTGGAGGGGAGGGCAGGTGCAGTGGGAGGGGGGGCAGGTGCAGTGGAGGGGAGGGCAGGTGCAGTGGGAGGGGAGGGCAGGTGCAGTGGAGGGGAGGGCAGGTGCAGTGGAAGGGGAGGGCAGGTGCAGTGGAGGGGACGGCAGGTGCAGTGGAGGGGAGGGCAGGTGCAGTGGAGGGGAGGGCAGGTGCAGTGGAAGGGGAGGGCAGTGCAGTGGAGGGGAGGGCAGGTGCAGTGGGAGGGGGGGCAGGTGCAGTGGAGGGGAGGGCAGGTGCAGTGGGAGGGGGGGGCAGGTGCAGTGGAGGGGAGGGCAGGTGCAGTGGGAGGGGAGGGCAGGTGCAGTGGAGGGGACGGCAGGTGCAGTGGAGGGGGGGGCAGGTACAGTGGAGGGGAGGGCAGGTGCAGTGGAAGGGGAGGGCAGTGCAGTGGAGGGGAGGGCAGGTACAGTGGAAGGGGAGGGCAGGTGCAGTGGAAGGGACGGCAGGTGCAGTGGAGGGGAGGGCAGGTGCAGTGGGAGGGGAGGGCAGGTGCAGTGGAGGGGAGGGCAGGTGCAGTGGAAGGGACGGCAGGTGCAGTGGGAGCATAGGGCAGGTGTAGTGGGAGCATAGGGCAGGTGCAGTGGAGGGGACGGCAGGTGCAGTGGAGGGGACGGCAGGTGCAGTGGAGGGGAGGGCAGGTGCAGTGAAAGGGACGGCAGATGCAGTGGAGGGGATGGCAGGTGCAGTGGAAAGGAGGGTCTTGTGTGGGGATTAAGATTTATATGGACGGGGGCCTGCTAGGAGGGGCTGCTGGGGGAGGGGCGGCTTGGGGAGGGGCAGGGCCGCAGCCTGTTCTCAGCCTTCAGAATTAGCAAAAATCCCAGAGCACACTGGGACTCAGGAAAGTGCAGTGGGCCCCAGAGGGCCAGTGAAGGCATTAGCATCCCCTGTCCCCAGGACTGTTAAGAACTTAGCCTATGACCCAGACAGATCTGAGTTCCCAGGTTCAAACCCCAGTCTCAGGACACTTCCTGGGACAGAGGGGCAGAGACAGCCTGGGAAGTCTGGTGCAGTGGGGATCTTGCAGACTTTGCTGAAGGCCCAGGCTAACCTTGAAAATGGAACATGGGATCTGGGTTTTGTAGCATGAGTAGGAGTTCGGTGGAGTCTCCAGAAGAATGGAACTCCAGGCAGAGCCTGCTGTGTAGGCTGAGGCCTTGAGGTGAGCGGTGTCATGATGAGCTAGGGCGTGTTCGCTTGTCATGGGGCAGCCAGGGGTTGGGGAGGGCAGAAGAAAAGTCTGGAATGTTCGAGGTGCAGGGCAGAGGCGAAGATCAGAGCTTCAGCACGCGGAGTCCTGGTGGCGAGTTCTGCAGAGGGAGCATTTGAAGTGAGTGAGGCCCAGGCATCCAAGGAGGGGTGTGGGATTATGATCAAGGATTTTTATTTTATTTATTTTTTTGAGACAGAGTCTCACTCTGTCGCCCAGCAGGCTGGAGTGCAGTGGTGTAATCTCAGCTCACTGCAACCTCCACCTCCCGGGTTCAAGTGATTCTCCTGCCTCAACCTCCCTGAGTAGCTGTGATTACAGGTGCCCGCCACCGTGCCCGGCTAACTTTTGTATTTTTTTTTGAGACGGAGTTTCGCTCTTGTTACCCAGGCTGGAGTGCCATGGCGCGATCTCGGCTCACCGCAACCTCCGCCTCCTGGGTTCAGGCAATTCTCCTGCCTCAGCCTCCCGAGTAGCTGGGTTCACGGGCACGCGCCACCGTGCCCAGCTAATTTTTGTATTTTTAGTAGAGACGGGTTTCACCATGTTGACCAGGATGGTCTCGATCTCTTGACCTCGTGATCCACCCGCCTCGGCCTCCCAAAGTGCTGGGATGACAGGCGTGAGCCCCTCTTACGTATGCCCAAGCCCTGGCTCAGAGCCTAGTTACTCTTTTTACTCTTACTCTGTGTACAGTTTTTTTTTCTTTTGAGGCTGTGTCTTGCTCTGTTGCCCAGGCTGGAGTGCGGTGGCGCGATCACAGCTCACTGTGGCCTCGACCTCCCCGGTTCAAGTGATCCTCCCCTTTCAGCTTTTTCAGTGGCTGGGACCCCAGGTGCGTGCCACCATACCTGGCTAATTTTTCGATTTTTAGTAGAGATGGGATCTCGCTGTGTGGCCCATGCTGGTCAAAGTCCTGAGCTCAAGGGACCCTCCTGCCTCAGCCTCTGAAAGCACTGAGATTACAGGTGTGCACCGCGGCACCCGACCTGATTATGTCTCGTTCCCGCGCGCGGGGGTTAGAGGGCAGAGGTGGCAACTAACAGCAGCATAGAAGAGCCTGCGGGAGTCACTTTGATTTCACGGAGACAGAAGCGCCGGATGAGACAGAGTTAGAGCAGAGACCTGAGGCTGCCCAGTTCAGGCAGCCGTGACTCGGTGCCCCCGGGGTGACCACTCCGAGATGGGGCTGGGGCGGTCCTTGATCTGGTGGGAGTGTCTTGGGCCCAGCAGGGGGCTGGGGCAGGCGCCATCATTTTAAACACCCTCAGGTCTTTGGGCTCCTCCCCGCAGCACCACCTCAGGACACCAGCCCGGGACCCATCTACTTCTTGGACCCCAAAGTCACACGCTTTGGACGCAGCTGCACCCCTGCCTACTCCATGCAGGGCCGCAGCAAGTCTCAGGGTGAGTATTGGACCCATGCAGCCACACAGGGACCCCTCCAAGGCCTCAGCGACTCTCCCGCCCTGGCCTCCCTGTCCCTCTTATCCTCGGAGTCCTTAGAGACTCCAGTGTCTTCGGAGTGATCAAATCCAAAGGACCTGGAGGAGGGGCCGCCACTCCAGTGCCCACAGGGGCTGGGAGACCTGAGTGAGCGAAATGAGTCAGTGTCATGGAGGCCCTGGGCACACACGCATCCCAGGGGCAGCTGGCCTTGGTATCAGGAGGTGAGAAGTGAAAGGGGACTGTGGCAAATTGCCAGTGTCCATCACAGGCACCCAACAGCCTGCCAGAGCACCCGACACACCTGTCTGACTCCATTCTCCCCTCCACCTGCCCACCCACCCATCCATCTATCCACCATCCATGTATCCATCCACCTGCCCACCTACCCATCTATCCACCTGTCCAACTGGTCGTCCATCAACCCACCTAGCATCCACCCACCCATCCATCTACCCATCCATCTACCCATCCATCCGTCCATTCACTCACCCACCCACCCACTTACCCAACCATCTATCCACCCGTCCATCCACTCCACCCACCTATCTACCATCCATCTGCCCACCCATCTACCCACCCATCCATCTATCCACACAACCATCTCTCCCGTCTCTCCACCCATCCATCCACTCATCCATCTGCCCACCTACCATCTGCCCATCCATCCCCCATCCACCCAGCCATGTATCCACCCACCCGACCCTCCATTTATCTCCCCATCCACCCACCCATCTACCCATCCATCTATGAATTTTTCCTTTTTTCCTTCTACTCATCATCCATCCATCCATCCATCCATCCATTTACGGATCACAAACCATTCACTCCTCACTCAGCCACTCACCTCCTACCTGTCCTGTTCACCCATCAGCTCAGTCAACTGCTGGGGAGTTGGAGTAGATTTTACTTTACTTTTCCCGAGATCCCAGTCTGGTGGGGCGGTTAGATGCAGGTGCGACCACCCCACCTCAGTGTGCTGACATCCGGAGAGGGGAAGCCCAGGCTGCGGGGCTCGGGAAGGGCTCGAGGGCTCTACCGTGGATGGTATGGGGAAGGTGTAACATGAAGGCATGCTTGGTCCTGGGTCGAGCTTGGGCAAAGTCCTAGACGCTTGGACAACAGAGCGTGTGTATGGAGGAGGGCAACTCCAGGGCGCATGTGGGCGAGGGGGAGCCATGCTGGGTCTTTGAGCAGGTGAGGACACCAGTGCCGTCCTTTTTCCCCACTCTGACAGGTCTGGAGGTGACGCCAGGCCCGGGGACCTACAGCCCAGAGAAGGTGCCCCCCATGCGCCATCGGACACCCCCAGCTTTTACCCTGGGCTGCCGCCTCCATCCGAAGCCCCTGGACACCTCGGCCCCTGCCCCTAATGCCTACACCATGCCCCGTCTGTGGGGCTCGCAGATCTTCATCAAGCCCAGCAGCCCCAGCTACACGGCGGCGGGCCGCACACCCCCTGCCCGCCCCCCACAGGATCCCGCCGAGACACCAGGCCCGGGCCAGTACGACAGCCCCGACCCCAATGCCTACCGCCAGCGCCTGCCTGCCTTCACGATGCTGGGGCGGCCCCGGGCCCCGCGGCCCCCAGAGGAGACACCTGGCCCTGGCACCCACTGCCCAGAGCAGGTCACGGTGAACAGAGCCAGGGCGCCCGCATACTCCATGGGCATCCGCCACTCGCCCCGGGCGCGCACCATGGCCGCCACCATGCCCACACGGCTGGCGGGGCTCAGGCTGCCTGGCAGCTGCTGCTAGGCCAGGCCTGTTTCGCCACGGTGAACGGGGAGTGGGCAGAGGGGCTGGGAAAGGCGTCTTTCCCCCCCTTTCCTGAGCTGTCCCAGGTCCTTCTAGGACACCCGATCCTTCCACCCGTGGCCCGGTGCAGGGTGCAGGGTGAGTCTCCTTCCAGTGCCCCAGTTTCTTCCGGTCACGCCAGAAGAAAGGCCAGGCCAGGCAGGAAAGAGACACCTCCAGACCTCCCCAGCAGCTGGCTGCAGATGAAGCTTCCCGTGTCCTAGAACTCCACGTCCAGCGCCACCAGGGCCTGGATCCCCATCACGGCTTGGGTTTGTGCCACATTCGTGCCCTTCCGGGTCTCATGGAAATGTGGCCACCGGCCCTGGTCTGGGCCCAAACTCAGGCAGGCAGCAGCTCTGAGGCCCGTGCCTTTCTCCTTCCACCTTCTAGAGTTGTTTACCCAATAAACCTCTCCAGGGCCAGGGAGCTGTCTGCATCACACGTGCTGGTTTATTTAATGTGTCCTGAATGCTGCCCTCCAGAGCCAGACCCATAATCTGCCAGTGCTCAGGGGGTCTGACAGACCAGAAGAGAGACCCAGGGCTAGGGGAGGCCAGAGGTGGAATGAAGCTTTGGAGTGGGGAGCCAGGGAGGCTTCCTGGAAAACGGAATATCAAAACTGGGTTTTGAAGGGTGTGTAGGAGCTCGATGTATTTGTGCTATCGGTTGCTGCTTGCTGTGTCTTGGATGTTAATAAAGACCAATTATGCTTCATAGCAACTCAGGACCAGGTGGCATTTACTGAGAGAAACGATGCTTTGCAGAGACTGGACCCTTGTCCTGGAACATGCTGTGAGCCCCCACCTCAGTCTGATGTCAGGGTTTGAACCCTGGACCTTGGACTCAGTTCCTGCCACTATCTCCTAGGGACAGGAAGAAACACACGGGTGGTGCTGTGTGGCTGAGCCCTCTGTGTGCCAGGGAGGGAGGGCACCTGGGTCACCCTACAAACCTCCCATCCAGCATGATGCTCACCCCGAGTTTGGGGGGTATCCCTGAAGGATGCGGCCTGGGAGGCCTGCAGCGGGCAGAGACCGGGTAGTGGGGCCACCAAACCCAAACTCCACTTTACCCACTAGGTGAACGCACGCCAGGACCCCTGCAGCCTGGATCCCCGCCTAAGCCTGGACACGCGCCGTGACGCAGCGTCCACCCTGCGCGTAACACACACAGCGCGCAAGTCCAGCGGCGGCTCCGACCCCTGCCAATGGCGCACACGATCCGCCCCTCCCGCGGCCGCGCAGGGGCGATACGCGCGCCGGGGCAGAGACACCAATCGCGGCCGCGCGCGCCTCCCTCCCTCCCCTCCCCCACCTTCCCGGCCCTGCGCGCGGCTCCGGCCGTGATCTCATCCCCTGATTTATCGATCAGGCTCCGGGCAGCCTCGCCCCTCCCTCCCCACCTGCCAGCGCGTCCCGGCCCCTCCCTTTGTTCCCGGCAATCGGTCCAGCTTGGGGCAGGGCGGGGGGCTCCGGCCGAGTCGGGCCAGGAGGCTGGGTCCCGGGGTGACACTGACACCCCGTTTTCAGGTGCAGAGGACCCGACCCTTGAGGCTGGGGGAGCCGCCGGAGGCTGGGGACGGAGCAGCCGGCTGGCCTGGGAAGCTCAGGCCCGAGCTGGTGCGGGATGGGCTCCCCAGAAGCGAGGGAGGAAGGGCTGCGCTCTCAGCCCGCTCCCCTGGGTTACAGCCGGAGAAACTGAGGCCGGGACAGGCCTCAGAGCAGGACTCCTCACTCCTGGGTCTGACGCTGCGCTGTGCGTCCTTGGCCGCGCTCCTTCCCCTCCGCAGGCCTCAGTTTCCCCACTAGGAACTAGGGAATGACCCCGAGGTATCTTCTGGCTGCAAGGATGGAGAGGGAGGGGCTAACCTGAGGGCCTGGGGTTCCCTTTCTCCCTGGCCGCGCCTCCCCAGGCCTCAGTTTCCCCGTAGTCAAGGGGAAAGAAGGGATGTGATTTGTAAGCGTCTCCAGCTCTCCTCCTAGGAACCTGGGCGGCGGGCGGGGTCGGGGGGCGCAGCGGGGAGGGTCGCTGAAGGGGTCCTGGGTTCGAAGCCATGTCCCTCCTCGGCTGCCGGCTCCAGGCCAGCGCCTGGTGTCCTCGGAGGGCCTCAGTTTCCCCAGCCTCGCGGCCAGGCGCCGGGACCAGGAGGGCCGGGGTCCCAGGGGCGCAGCCCCCCGCGGCTGCGCGCTGGGCCGGGCGGATGACATCACAGGGCCGGGGGCGGGAGGGAGCGGGCGGAGCGGGCGGGCCTCCTCCGCGTTAGGCGCAGCGCCCGGTCGGGCTCCGTCGGGCGGCCGCGGCCATGACGCAGGGTCCGGGCGGGCGCGCGCCCCCAGCGCCCCCGGCGCCCCCCGAGCCCGAGGCGCCCACCACCTTCTGCGCGCTGCTGCCCCGGATGCCGCAGTGGAAGTTCGCGGCCCCGGGCGGCTTCCTGGGCCGCAGCCCGGCGGCGGCGCGAGCGGCTGGGGCGGCCTCGGGGGGCGCGGACCCCCAGCCGGAGCCCGCAGGCCCGGGGGGCGTCCCGGCGCTGGCGGCCGCCGTCCTGGGCGCCTGCGAGCCCCGCTGCGCCGCGCCCTGTCCCCTGCCCGCGCTCAGCCGCTGTCGGGGGGGCGCGGGGGCGCGGGGGCCGCGGGGCGCGCGGGGGGCGGCCGGGCCCGGGGACAACGTCGCGGCGGAGTGGATCCGGAAGGGCAGCTTCATCCACAAGCCCGCGCACGGCTGGCTGCACCCCGACGCCAGGGTCCTGGGGCCCGGGGTCTCCTACGTCGTGCGGGTGAGTCCCCCCCAACCCCGAACCTGTTCGCGGGGGCCGCCCCTCCCCCACTCGCTTTCCCGGGACCCCCGGACCCCGCGAGCCCGGTGCCCGCTCCCCATCTTTCCTCCGCTCGCGCTCCGGACCCCTATCCCCGGCCAGAGCGCGGCGGCCGCCCCCACCCGAGAGTCGCTGGGGTCCGGTTCCCACAGCGTCACGTGGGGAGGGCAGGGACGGGGACGCGCGTGCGCAGCTTCACCTCCCCCGTCGGATTGGCGCGCCAGGCCCGGGAGCGGGGCGGGCTGGGGGGGGGTGGTCTGTCTGGACAGCGCTTCCCGGACCGCGGGCGGAGCCCTGCGCTGCGGCGGGGTTCCGGGGGCTGCGGGAGGGGGCGCGGGGTGTGCGGGGGGCTGCGGAGAGGGTCCGGAAGGGGGTGTGGGGGATGCGGGAGGGGAGCAGGTGCGGGGCGGGTGCTGGGGGGTGTGGAGGGTGCGGGGGGGGGGTGCAGGAGGGGCTGCCGCCCGCACAGACCGTGAGGCCGCGGGGACTCCAGTGCGACCAGGGAAGCGGCCTTTGTTTATCCTGGGTCTGGTGACACATACGCCTTTTGAAACCCAGGGGAAGTTGCGTCCTCACCCACGACTGTGTCTGGAGAATCATCAGCCGGATTCCCTCAGGCTTCCCTACCCTGAGCCCAGGGGGTCCTTCCCCTACACTGAACCCAGGGGGTCCTTCCCCTACCCTGAGCCCAGGGGGTCCTTCCCTACCCTGAGCCCAGGGGGTCCTTCCCCTACCCTGAGCCCGGGAGGTCCTTCCCCTGCACTGAGCCCGGGGGGTCCTTCCCCTACCCTGAGCCCAGGGGGTCCTTCCCTACCCTGAGCCCAGGGGGTCCTTCCCCTACACTGAGCCCGGGGGTCCTTCCCCTACCCTGAGCCCGGGGGGTCCTTCCCTACCCTGAGCCCGGGGGGTCCTTCCCCTACACTGAGCCCGGGGGTCCTTCCCCTACCCTGAGCCCGGGGGGTCCTTCCCCTGCACTGAGCCCGGGGGGTCCTTCCCCTACCCTGAGCCCGGGAGGTCCTTCCCCTACCCTGAGCCAGGGAGGTCCTTCACCTACCCTGAGCCCGGGAGGTCCTTCCCCTACACTGAGCCCGGGAGGTCCTTCCCCTACCCTGAGCCCGGGGGTCCTTCCCCTACCCTGAGCCCCGGGGGTCCTTCCCCTGCACTGAGCCCGGGGGTCCTTCCCCTCAGGGGGGTGACGTTTTCCCGGTTAAGGTGTCATTTCCCCGGCTAATATGACATTTCCCCGCCTAAGGTGGCATTTCCCCGGCTAAGGTGACATTTCTCCCGGCTAAGGTGATGTCTCCCCGGCTAAGGTGACGTTTCCCCAGCTGAGGTGACATTTCTCCCGGTAAAGGTCCTGTTTGTTTCCCGTATGATTAGGAAGGTCTGTGGGGACTTGTGGAACTGGGGACAGGTGTGTGGGACATTGCAGCGCAGGCTGTGGGAGCCACACGCGGGCCAGGCTGTGCCCACTTCTAGCCCAGTGCTGCCTGTGGCCTTTCCAGCCCTGGCACCGCCTTCTGGTCTTTCTGGCCTGGAACGTGATCCGGGAAGAGACGTTGAGACTCTGCAGTATCCGTGTTCCCAGCAAACCTTGACCCACTCCTTTCAGCAAAACCTTAGGATTATCGTGTGAATGAACACTTTTCATTTTAATAATGTGTTTATTTTGGCTGGGCAGGGTGACTCACGCCTGTAATCCCAGCACTTTGGGAGGCCGAGGAGGGCAGATCACCTGAGGTCAGGGGTTCGAGACCAGCCTGGCCAACATGGTGAAACCCCATCTCTACTAAAAATACAAAAAATTAGCTGGGGATGGTGGCACGTGCCTGTAATCCCAGCTACTCAGGAGGCTGAGGCAGGAGAATTGTCTGAACCCAGGAGGCGGAGGTTGCAGTGAGCCGAGATTGCGCCATTGCACCCCAGCCTGGGTAACAAGAGTAAAACTCCATCTTAAAAAAAAAGAAAAAATAGCAACCGGTCACGGTGGCTCATGTCTGTAATCCCAGCACTCTCCGAGGCGGGTGGATCATGAGGTTGAGAGGCCGGGACCATCATGGTCAACAAGGTGAAACTCCGTCTCTACTAAAAATACAAAAATTAGCTGGGCGTGGTGGTGCGTGCCTGTAATCCCAGCTACTCAGGAGGCTGAGGCAGGAGAATCGCCTGAACCCAGGAGGTGGAGGTTGCGGTGAGCCGAGGTCGCGCCATTGCACTCCAGCCTGGGTAACAAGAGCGAAACTCTGTCTCAAATAAAAACAGAAAAAGAAAAAGCAAATGGCAGCAGTCCTGGGCCCTCTGGAATGTGGGACACGCCGTGTGCCGAGGTCCCCACCCCTTTCTGTCATGCAGGGGGAGCTGTGCAGATTCTGGAGCCCAGGACTGTGGGTTCAGGGCCCAGCTCTCCAAGCTGTGTGGCCCACCATGTTGCTCGCCGCCCCGCCCGGGTCTCTGTCTCCCGAGGGGTAATGCCGCCGTGGCGTGTGGATTTGCGTGGAGTGGATTAAAGGGCCACATGCACAGAGTGCTCACAGCAGAGGCGCGCCCGTGACAGGCGCCCTGTGAGTTTGCGGGGTGTCAGCATCGTTCCCGCCTGGCCCCTGCATCACATGCTCACCGGCCTGGTCCCGCTGTAGGTATCCGAGTTTGCAATCCCTGTTCTCAGCCCAATGGGACAGTGCATTTCCCTCTCAGTAGCTGCCGCGTGCCATGGAGGGTTAGTCCCCCCGTCTCCCGTGCACTGGGCTGTGTCCCCACAGCCGGGTCCTTGCCCCACACAGTTAATCCAGGCAGGGTCTACGACTCAAAGGAGGGTTTCAGCCACACAACTGAGTGGGCTACATGCTAATAAGTGGGCAGGTGGGTGAGTGAGAATCCCTCACCCTAAGCCCTGGCGCACCAGACACTGGCTCAGACACCACCCCAGAGAGAAGACGGCCACCGAGCAGATAGCATCCCACCAAAGTTGCCTCCTCGGGGGGAGAATCCAGTGCTAGGGACAGGGACCATGACTAATTCCCTTAGGGTCTGACATGTCTGCTGCATGCTTAGAGTGCATTCATCTGTTCATCCATCCATCCACCCACCCATCCATCCATTCATCCTCCATCTGCCTGTCTGTCCATCCACCCATCTATCCATCAGCCATTCATCCATCTTCCACCCGTCCATCCACCCACCCACCCACCCTCCATCCACTCACCCTCCATCCATCCACCCATCAATTCATCCATCCATCAATCCATCCACCCTCTATCCACCCATCCATCCATCAATCCATCCACCCTCTATCCACCCATCCATCCATCAATCCATCCACGCTCTATCCACCCATCCATCCATCAACCCATCCACCCTCTATCCACCCATCCATCCATCAATCCATCCATGCGGCTATCCACCCATCCATCCATCAATCCATCCACCCTCTATCCATCCTCCATCTGCCTGTCCGTCCATCCACCCATCTATCCATCAGCCATTCATCCGTCTTCCACCCGTCTATCCACCAATCCACCCTCCACTCACCCACCCTCCATCCATCCACCCTCCATCCACCCACCCATCCATCCACTCATCCATCCATCCTTCATCTGCCTGTCTGTCCATCTACCCATCTATCCATCAGCCATTCATCCATCTTCCACTCTCCATCCACCACCCACCCTCCATCCATCCACCCTCCATCCACCCACCCTCACCCTCCATTCACCCACCCATCAATTCATCCATCCATCAATCCATCCACCCTCTATCCACCCATCTATCCATCCACCCACCCATCAATTCATCCATCCATCAATCCATCCACCCTCTATCCATCCACCCACCCATCCATCCACTCTTCCATCCATCCTCCATCTGCCTGTCCGTCCATCCACCCATCTTCCACCCTCCATCCACACACCCACCCTCCATCCATCCACCCATCCATCCACCCACCCATCCATCCATTCATCCTCCATCTGCCTGTCTGTCCATCCACCCATCTATCCATCAACCATTCATCCATCTTCCACCCGTCCATCCACCCACCCACCCTCCATCCATCCACCCTCCATCCACCCACCCTCACCCTCCATTCACCCACCCATCAATTCATCCATCCATCAATCCATCCACCCTCTATCCACCCATCTATCCATCCACCCACCCATCAATTCATCCATCCATCAATCCATCCACCCTCTATCCACCCATCTATCCATCCACCCACCCATCAATTCATCCATCCATCAATCCATCCACCCTCTATCCATCCACCCACCCATCCATCCACTCTTCCATCCATCCTCCATCTGCCTGTCCGTCCATCCACCCATCTTCCACCCTCCATCCACACACCCACCCTCCATCCATCCACCCACCCACCCACCCTCCATCCATATACCCTCTATCTATCCATCCACCCTCTATCCACCCATCCATCCATCCATCCACCCACCCTCCATCCACTCACCCTTCATCCATCCACCCATCAATTCATCCATCCATCAATCCATCCACCCTCTCTTCCCCATCCATCCATCCATCCATCCATCCACCCACCCATCATTTCATCCATCCATCAATCCATCCACCCTCTATCCATCCACCCACCCATCCATCTATTCATCCTCCATCCTCCATTTGCCTGTCCATTCATCCACCCATCTATCCATCATCTGCTCATCCATACATCTACCTACCACTCATCCATTCATCTTCCATCCATTCTTTCATCCATCCATCCTCCATCTGTCTGTCAGTCCATCATCCATCCATTCAGCAGGAGTGGAGGCAGCTCTGTCCATGCCCTGCGTGACTGCTCCCTGGCTCCCAGCTGGCCCAGGATGAACCCCTGCCCCTCATCACTGCTGAGGGCCTGTGGCGTCTGCTTCTGTGCATGCGTTCTGGTGTCTGTCTCTGCTCCTCGCTCTTCCTGCTCCAGGGGTGTGGAGCCATGGAGAAGGGCAGAGCCTGGGCCAGCTGGTGCAGGGACCTGCACACACCTCACAAGCCCGCAGGCTGATGCATCTGTGGGGTAAATTCCTAAAAATGGGGATGCAGGGTCAGTGTTTGCATGTTGATAATTAAAAAAAAAAAAAAAACGGAGGTAAAATTCACATAACATTAACTATTTTTTTTTTTTGAGACGGAGTTTCGCTCTTGTTGCCCAGGCTGGAGTGCAATGGCGCGATCTCCACTCATAGCAACCTCCCGTTCCTGGGTTCAGGCAATTCTCCTTCCTCAGCCTCCCGAGTAGCTGGGATTACAGGCACACGTCATCTCGCCCAGCTAATTTTTTGTATTTTTAGTAGAGATGGGGTTTCACCATGTTGACCAGGATGGTCTCGATCTCTTGACCTCATGATCCACCCGCCTCGGCCTCCCAAAGTGCTGGGATTACAGGTGTGCGACACTGCGCCTGGCCCACTATTTTTTTTTGTGATGGGGTCTCATCCTGTTACCCAGGCTGGAGTGCAATGACACGATCTCATCTCACCGCAACCTCCGCCTCCTGGGTTCAGGCAATTCTCCTGCCTCAGCCTCCTGAGTAGCTGGGATTACAGGCACGCGCCACCGTGCCCAGCTAATTTTTGTATTTTTAGTAGAGATGGGGTTTCACCATGTTGTCCATGCTGGTCTTGAACTCCTGACCTCATGATCCACCCGCCTGGGCCTCCCAAAGTGCTGGGATTACAGGCGTGAGCCACCGTGCCCGGCACGTTAACTGTTAATCATTTTGCATGTCACATATTCCACAATTCGGTAGCGTTTAGTATATTCAGAATATTGTGCAGCCAACACTTCTAATTCCAGAATTTCTCATGGCCCCAGTAGGAACCGTTCCCGCCAGGCCTCACACCCGGCCCCCTCTTGCTGCCTGTGTAGGAGATTTCCTGGAGATGGCGCGGGCTGTGCCTCTCACCCTCCCACCAGCAAGGGCCGGGCTGGACGGACACTGTGGCCTTCGCCTCCTGGCCCTGCTCCCCCACCCATCACGGCATGAAGCGGGTCAGGGACTCGGTGGGACGCGTCCACCCCCTTGCCCCTCAGTGCCACCACGGTTGTTGAGGCTGAATTCCCTTTCATGGAAATGGCTGTCTCCCCGGCCAGGAGCCTCAAGCTCCCCATGGAGGGTGAGGCCAGCAGTGCGTTTGCCTGTGGCTGTCGGGACGCCTGCCCCACTGTTTGCCAGACCCTGAGCTGGGCGCCGGGGACACGGAAGTGTGCAGGGTCACGCCACGCCCACGCTGCTCGGTTCAGGTGCTGGAGGAACAGAAGGGGACTGACGAGGGCAAGATGGTTAAATGAACAAGTGTGCTGAGAAACAGCAACCGAGAAAACACACCTGGGGTGGACGAGGCCGCTCTCGGGGCAGCGTTCAGACTGGGCCTCGAGGTGGGGGAGGCCTGAGGGCTCTGGAGCCCCCAGGGACGGAGGACAGGGCTCGACCCCAGTGGTGGCGATGGCGGAGGCGCAGGGCTGCCGCGAGAAGGGACCCGGGGGCTTCCCGGGCTGGCATCTGACACCTGTTCTCTCTCCTGGCAGTACATGGGCTGCATCGAGGTCCTCCGCTCCATGCGCTCCCTGGACTTCAGTACGCGCACCCAGGTGACCAGGTGAGCCAGCCACCCTGCCCTGGCCGCGTCGGGCTCTGTGGGTGCTGGAGGCTGCAGAGATGGGCTCCAGGACAGCTGCGCTGGGGTCCCAGGATGCAGCCTTGGTGCCATGTCCTCCCATGGGCTTCTGGGATGCAACCTCGGTGCCGTGTTCTCCCACAGGGTCCCAGGGCGCAACCCCAGTGCCATGTTCTCCCACGGGGTCCCGGGACGCAGCCTCAGTACCGTGTTCTCCCACGGGGACGGGGCGCAGCCTCAGTACCGTGTTCTCCCACAGGGTCCCGGGACACAGCCTCAGTGCCGTGTTCTCCCATGGGGACGGGGCGCAGCCTCAGTACCGTGTTCTCCCACGGGGTCCCGGGACGCAGCCCCAGTACCGTGTTCTCCCACCTCACACCACGACTCCACCCTGTCCCTGCGCCGGGCATCAGTCACCGTGCCCTGCAAATCTCAGCCTTCCTCTGAGATGGAGAGAATGCCAGTGGCTCACAGGGTGTGGGGGTGCAGGGCCGGGGGGAATCTCTCGGAGACCGGGGCTCAGCGGCATCTCTGTCCCCACTGTTTCCACGCGGTGACCTCAGGAGACTGCAGGTGGCTGGGACAGAGTCACTGGGATGGTGGGTACGACCGGGGCCTTAGCAGGGCGGAGGTCCACATCCTTTTTCCTCTCCGTTTTTTCTTTTTGAGACGGAGTGTCATTCTCACCCGGGCTGGAGTGCATTCGCACGATCTCAACTCGCTGCAACCTCCGCCTCCTGGGTTCAAGAGATTCTCCTGCCTCAGCCTCCCAAGTAGCTGGGATTATAGGCGCACGCCACCACGCCCGACATACGTTTTACTAGAGATGAGGTTTCACCATATTGGACAGGCTGGTCTTGAACCCCTGACCTCGTGATCCGCCTGCCTCGGCCTCCCAAAGTGCTGGGATTACAAGCATGAGCCACCGCGCCCGGCCCATACCCTTTTTTTCTGTGAAAACTCGTTGATTTCGTTCGCGTAGACTTGAAAAAACCCGACGTGGTTAGTTAACATGTGCACGTGTGAGATACGATTCACACCTCAGTTCACCCACTTACAGAGTGCGACGCGGACTCTTTAGGACCTTCACAGAGTCTCTGGGGCTTTCTCCTATCTTCATGGCCACCATCGCTATCTAGTTCCCTAGTTCTAGAACATTCTCGTTACCCCAGCAAACTACCCCGCCACGGTCACCCTGTGCCCTGCTCCCAGCCCCGGCGCCCACGCGTCCCCTCCCGTCTCTGTGGATTCGTCTGTCCTGGGCATTTCATATAAAGGGGAGCACAGGCTGCGTGGCCTTCTGTGCCTGGTGCCTCTCACCGAGCGTGACGTCCTCAAGGTGCATCCATGCTGTGGCCTGGCTGGTCAGAGCCTCCTTTCCTTTCTTTTTTTCTTGAGACGGAGTCTCGCTCTGTCGCCCAGGCTGGAGTGCAATAGCGTGATCTCGGCTCACTGAAACCTCTGCCTCCCACGTTCGAGTGATTCTCCTGCCTCAGCCTCCCGAGTAGCTGGGATGACAGGTGCCTACCAACACACCCGGCTAATTTTTAAGTATTTTTATTAAAGACAGGGTTTCACCACGTTGCTCAGGCTGGTCTCGAACTCCTGACCTCAGGTGATCCACCCACCCCAGCCTCCCAAAGTGCTGGGATTACAGGCGTGAGCCACTGCGCCCGGCCTGTGAACGTGTTTCTGTTTCTCTTGGGAACACACCTGGGAGTGAAATTCCGGGTTACGTGGTGACCCTAACCTTTTGAGGGGGCCCCCAGTCTGCACAGCAGCTGTGCCATGAAAATTTCCACGCGCCCTGGGTGGGGTCTGGTTTCTCCACAGGATGCTGACGTTTCCAAGCCTCCTTCAGGACCCCGGAGAGTTTTTTTTCGGAGGAGGGGATGGAATTTTGCTCTTGTTGCCCAGGCTGGAGTACAATGGCAGGATCTTGGCTCACCGCACCCTCTTCCTCCCAGGTTCAAGTGATTCTCCTGCCTCAGCCTCCCGAGTAGCTGGGACTACAGGCACCTGCCACCACGCCCGGCTAATTTTTGTGTTTTAGTAGAGATGGTGTTTCACCCTGTTGTCCAGGCTGGTCTCAAACTCCTGACCTCAAATGATCAGCCCATCTTGGCCTCCCAAATTGTTGGGATTACAGGTGTGAGCCTTGCCTGCCATGGACCCCACAGCATTCTAACCTCTCCTGGGACCCGTGGTTTGAGGCACTGGTTTGGGGTCAGCTCCTTTCACACTCAGGGGCCCTCCAGAGCAGAGGTCGCTGCTCCAGCGCTGCAGACAGGATCAGGCTCTGGGTCTCCCGCTCGCTGGTCTAGCCCCCCAGACCTGGCCCCGAGCCTTCCCTGTGGGCTGAGACCAGGGTGTCACTGGTCCCTGGGAAAGAAAGAGGGTTCGAGGGGCCGGAGCTGGGGGCCGGGCATCTGCCGCACGCAAGGACGCACTTGGGGTGGGCTCCGTGCCTGTCCTGGTGGGCACCCCTCCCCAGGTCCCCCAGCCCCTCCCCTCCACAACTAAGGCCCCCAGCCCTCTCCCACATCTCCCTCTCTGCCTTCCTCTCCCCTCTGGCTCCCACCCTTCTCTGAGCTCCTGTGCCTTCTGCATACCGGTCTCTCTGACCCTTTCCTCCCCAGCTCCCTCCCTGACCGCCCCCCACCACACTCGCTAAGCTTCCTCCTCCCAACCCCAGGGAAGCCATCAACCGTCTCCATGAGGCTGTGCCTGGCGTCCGGGGATCCTGGAAGAGAAAGGTGAGTGAGGCTCCTGGCCTCTCCTGGGGTGGCTGGTGGGCAGTTGGGGCCATCCTGGGAGCCCCTCCATGGCCCCTGCCCACGGCGGCCCAACCCACAGTAGCCCCACCCACAGTAGTCCCACTCACAGCAGCCCCCACCCACGGCGCCCCCACCCACGGTGGCCTCACCCATGGCAGCCCCCACCCACAGCAGTCCCACCCATGGCGCCCCCAGCCACAACGGCCCCCACCCACGGAAGCCCTCGCTGTGCTCGCCCTAACTCAGGCCCCCAACAAGGCGCTGGCATCCGTCCTGGGCAAGAGCAACCTTCGATTTGCCGGCATGAGCATCTCCATCCACATCTCCACTGACGGTCTCAGCCTCTCTGTGCCTGCCACGCGCCAGGTGGGTCTGCCCTCCTCCCCTGGCGTCCCCAGACCCCCAGAGGGGCAGGGAGATCCGGGACCCACTGAGGGAAAGCTGTGTGGGGTGCTGGGGGCGTGTGTCAGGCCCAACTCCGGCCCAGCCAGGAGGGTCTGCTCGGAGCCTCGGTGGCCTGCCTGCATGGTGGTTGGGGTCTATGCCCGCAGGGTGGGAGCAGAAATGAAACTGCACTGAGACGGCCCTCAGCCACCACCCCTCACTGGCTCCATCTTTCTCCAGCCCCCTCCCTGAAGCCCCCCTCTGCCCCTTGCCGCTCCTTCCTGAAGCCCCCATAGCAGCCCAGAGATGCTGCCCAGCCCCAAATCCCTGACCCCTGACCCCTGACCCCTGACCCCTGACCCCTGCTAACTTCTGGGCAGGTGCGTGTGCGAAGTGTGGGTGGTCAGGGTGTCTGAGTGTGAGTGTGCACACGTGTGTCAGGGCGTGGGACATGTGTTTGAGCATCTGGGCAGGTGGGTGTGTCAAGTGTGGCTGCTCATGGTGTATAAGTGTGTGTACGTGTGTCCCCTGCCCTGGAAGTGGGACCCCCGTGACCGTTCCCCTCCTGCCACCGCAGGTCATCGCCACCCACCACATGCCATCCATCTCCTTCGCATCAGGCGGAGACACGGTAAGGCTGGGGATGGGGATGGACCTGCAGCCTGCTGCCCCCTCCGGCCGTGAGACCCTCTGGCCCTTTCCCAGACCCCGTCTCCAGTACCCTCTGCCCACTCCCCCTGCCCCTCTCTGTGCATCGCTGGGGTGGGCAACTGGGAGTCCTGGTGGGGGGCCCAGGCAGGTCCAGCTGGCCCCTCCCTACCCCCAGGACATGACGGATTACGTGGCCTACGTCGCCAAGGACCCCATCAACCAGAGAGGTGAGGCCCCGGAATGGGACGGCCGGTGGGGGCCCGTGGCCGCGTGGCTGGGGCATGGCCGTGTGGCTTGGAGGCCACCTGACCGCATGACCCCGCAGCCTGCCACATCCTGGAGTGCTGCGAGGGCCTGGCGCAGAGTGTCATCAGTACCGTGGGCCAAGCTTTTGAGCTGCGCTTCAAGCAGTACCTACACAGCCCGCCTAAGGTGGCCCTGCCCCCGGAAAGGTAACTGACCCATCCCCACCCCGCCCCGGGGACCCCCAGGGACCTGTCCAGGTGCAGAGCCCGCTCCACCCCCTGAAGGCCCGAGCCCCCACCTGCCCTGGTCCCTCCCTGCCTGTGCTTCCTCTGCTGTAAAACCTGAGTTAGAGCATCCCTGCCCCCTGGGCTTCAGGGAGACATGAGCGAGCTGACTCCTGAGTGTGCCCGAGGCTGTCAGCCCTGCTGCTGTTACCAATATCCCTCCTCCAGACGGCAGCTGGCTCCTGCAAAGGGCAGAAAACGGCCTCCGTTTCCCCACAAGATGCGTTAAGTGGGGGACGTGGCTGTGTGCTGGCAGCATGCTATTTATAGATACTGAAACGTGGATGTCATGTCACTGTCACGTGTTGCCAAATGTTATTCTCTGGGTGTTTTCTCAAACACATAACTTTTAACTCATTCTTAGCTCGTGGGCCAAACAGAGCCAGGCAGTGAGCTGGCTTTGGCCTCGGGCTGGGGTTCGCCAGCCCGGCTTGAAGAAGGAGCTATTTAAGTGTCTGTTCATCATCAGAAAGTCAGGTTCCTCCAACGGTGGCGGGGCAGGTGCAGGCGCGTGAGCCCCCGGCCCCTCTGGCCACGAGGGAGGCGGCGTTGCACGCGTGCCCACTCTTGTCCCTTCGTGCACGGGGACGGTGCGCTCTGGAGCTGGGACGGACCTTCGCCTGCCTCTGGGGCGGCCTCCGCTTTCGTAGGCTGTCCTGTGATTTGCCCATCAGTGACTGCGGGCCAGGCAAGGGGCACCCTCTTCGGCTTGCTGAGGGGCGCCTGCAGGATACATCTCTGCCAGCACCGTCGGGCCAGAGGGCAGGGGCGCTCTGATCCCAGAGACTTGCCACCCTGGCCCGTGGTGTCCTGGTTCTGGGTATCAGCTTGGTTCATGCACTCTGCCGCCGGGTGGGGCCGAAGGTGGACAGCACCGGAGACCAGTTTTGCCAGTGACCTGCCTTCTGTGCCGCGGCTCGGAACTCTACGCGAGACTCCATTTTACAGATGAGGAAGTCGTGGATACGGTCACTCGCTCAGCCGATAGTGGGGACTGGGATTTGAACTCAGGTCTTCTCGGCTCCCCAGAAGCTCAAGCTGCAAGGGTTACCCCCTCGGTGCTGCCTGTCTCCCCACGGCCTTTGCTGTCTGTCCCCCAGGCTGGCGGGACTGGAGGAGTCGGCCTGGGGGGACGAGGAGGAAGCCGCGGAGCACAATTACTACAACAGCATTCCTGGGAAGGAGCCGCCGCCGGGCGGGCTGGTGGATTCCAGGCTGGCACTGACACAGCCCTGCGCCCTCGCCACCCTCGGCCAGGTCAGCCTCTGCCCTTGGGGGGACGCGGGATGCGGGGAGGGATGCCCCGGCGGCTGAGTCCTCGGACCTGCCTCCAGCTCTTGTTTTTGCTGCTTTCTGCTCAATCCTAGAGGCGTGTCTCAGTATTCACTCCCTCCCTCATTTATTCACTCATTCATTCCTCATTCACTCGCTCACTCACTGATTCACTCATTCATTCATTCACTCATTTATTCATTCACTCATTTATTCACTTGCTCACTCACTCATTCATTCACTCATTTATTCACTCTTTCAGTCACTCACTGATTGACTGATTCACTCATTCACCCACTCACCTATTCACCCCCTCAGTAACTCTCTCATTCACTCACTCACTCACTCATTTATTCACTCGCTCACTCACTCATTCACTCACTCACTCACTCATTCACTCACTCATTTATTCACTCACTCACTCATTCACTCACTCACTCACTCACTCATTCACCCACTCACCTATTCACCCCCTCAGTAACTCTCTCATTCACTCACTCACTCACTCACTGGTGGCCTCACGATGGGGTGCTGTGTGTGTGCCGGGCCTGTTCTGGACACGTCAGATGAGATGGCATTTCAGACATGATTTCTACCCTCAGACACAGTATCAACAGAGTAATGGTGTGATCACAGCCTTGATGAGGCCGCCAGGGAGGCAGTGAGGATGTCCACCGGGACACGGACTCTGGGGCGGCTCAGGAGGGCTTCCCTGAGGAAGCTGCGTTCTGACTGGTGAATAGGAGCTGCCTGGGAGAGCACTGCAGGGAAGGGCATGCAGGAAGAGGGAATGGCCATTGCAAAGTGGCAGGATGTGCTGACCACCTTCTGAGGCGGAGAGAAGGCGGGAAGGCCAGAGTAGAGCAGTGTGGCAGACCCAGCGGGTTAGTGAGCCCTGCAGGCAGTTCGAGAGCTGGGGAGCAAGGGGAGGGCTGGGGCTGAACTCCCCACCCTGAGTCTCCAGCCACCTAGGAGGCCATGTGAGGAGACTGGGGGTGCTGGGCTGGGAAGAGTGGCTTGCACATACCGGGGAACCTCTCGCTGCCATTTCCAGGGCCCATCTCCTGCTCGAAGAGACGCCCGCAGCTTGCCGTGGGACATGGGGCACACGGGTGCAGGTAGGATGGGCTTGGGCAGCTCGGGGTGCCCACAAGGGTTCTGGGGTGCCTCAGCCCCGTCCCGTGCTGCCTCCCCTCAGTCTTCCCCTCTCTGCTTATTTTACCTTCACCTACGAGATCATCTGCACCTCACACTCCTGAGATTTCCATCATCTCAGTGTCCGTTTGTTCTGTAGACTGGTTTCCTGGCATATGGGGCGTAGGTACTGAGTTTGTTCACACGGTACTAGGTGTCTGTGCGTGTTGGGTGTAGGTACTGGGTTCGTCCACACGGTACTAGGTTTCTGTGTGTGTTGGGTGTAGGTACTGGGTTCGTCCACACGGTACTAGGTTTCTGTGTGTGTTGGGTGTAGGTACTGGGTTCGTCCACACGGTACTAGGTTTCTGTGTGTGTTGGGTGTAGGTACTGGGTTCGTCCACACGGTACTAGGTGTCTGTGTGTTGGGTGTAGGTACTGAGTTCGTCCACACGGTACTAGGTGTCTGTGTGTTGGGTGTAGGTACTGAGTTCGTCCACACGGTACTAGGTTTCTGTGTGTTGGGTGTAGGTACTGAGTTTGTCCACACGGTACTAGGTGTCTGTGTGTTGGGTGTAGGTACTAAGTTCGTCCACACAGTACTAGGTGTCTGTGCGTGTTGGGTTTAGGTACCGAGTTCGTCCACACGGTACGAGGTTTCTCTGCGTGTTGGGTGTAGGTACTGAGTTCGTCCATCCGGTACTAGTTTCTGTGTGTTGGGTGTAGGTACTGAGTTCATCCACATGGTACTGGGTTTCTGTGCGTGTTGGGTGTAGGTACTGAGTTCATCCACATGGTACTGGGTTTCTTGGGTTTCTGTGTGTGTTGGGTGTAGGTACTGGGTTCGTCCACACAGTACTAGGTGTCTGTGCGTGTTGGGTGTAGGTACTGGGTTCGTCCACCTGGTACTAGGTTTCTGTGTGTTGGGTGTAGGTACTGAGTTCGTCCACACGGCACTGGGTTTCTGTGCGTGTTGGGTGTAGGTACTGAGTTCATCCACACAGTACTGGGTTTCTGTGCGTGTTGGGTGTAGGTACTGGGTTCGTCCACACGGTACTAGGTTTCTGTGTGTGTTGGGCGTAGGTACTGAGTTCGTCCACACGGTACTAGGTGTCTGCGTGTTGGCTGTAAGTACTGAGTTCATCCACACGGTACTAGGTTTCCGTGTGTGTTGGGTGTAGGTACTGGGTTCGTCCACACTCTACTAGGTTTCTGTGCGTGTTGGGTGTAGGTACTGTGTTCGTCCACCCGGTACTAGGTTTCTGTGCGTGTTGGGTGTAGGTATGTGGTACATCCACATGGTACTAGGTTTCCGTGCGTGTTGGGTGTAGGTACTGAGTTCATCCACACTGTACTAGGTTTCCGTGCGTGTTGGGTGTAGGTACTGGGTTCGTCCACCCGGTACTAGGTTTCTGTGCGTGTTGGGTGTAGGTATGTGGTACATCCACATGGTACTAGGTTTCCGTGCGTGTTGGGTGTAGGTACTGAGTTCATCCACACTGTACTAGGTTTCTGTGCGTGTTGGGTGTAGGTACTGAGTTCATCCACACGGTACGAGGTTTCTCTGCGTGTTGGGTGTAGGTACTGGGTTCGTCCACACGGTACTAGGTGTCTGTGCGTGTTGGGTGTAGGTACTGGGTTCGTCCACACAGTACTAGGTTTCTGTGCGTGTTGGGTGTAGGTATGTGGTACATCCACACGGTACTAGGTTTCTGTGTGTGTTGGGTGTAGGTACTGGGTTCGTCCACACTGTACTAGGTTTCTGTGCGTGTTGGGTGTAGGTACTGAGTTCATCCACACGGTACGAGGTTTCTCTGCGTGTTGGGTGTAGGTACTGGGTTCGTCCACACGGTACTAGGTGTCTGTGCGTGTTGGGTGTAGGTACTGGGTTCGTCCACACAGTACTAGGTTTCTGTGCGTGTTGGGTGTAGGTATGTGGTACATCCACACGGTACTAGGTTTCTGTGTGTGTTGGGTGTAGGTACTGGGTTCGTCCACACTGTACTAGGTTTCTGTGCGTGTTGGGTGTAAGTACTGAGTTCATCCACACGGTACGAGGTTTCTCTGCGTGTTGGGTGTAGGTACTGGGTTCGTCCACACGGTACTAGGTTTCTGCCCCACTGCGTGGTCCTGTGTTGTACCAGGGCCATCATTCATTCCACCCACGTCCTGCTCCTGGACATCTGCGTGGATTCCAGGCCTTTGCCGTGACAGACAGTGGTGCAGTGACCCGTAACGTTTTCGGCTTGGTTGCCAGGACTCTACGACCACCCCAGGGAGGGCTCCTGTGTGATTCAGTAGGAATCTGTCATTCCCAGTGGGCACTTGAGTGTGTGTTTTGTTTCTGAGACAGGGTCTTTCTGGGTGGTCAGGTTGGAGTGCAGTGGCGTGATCACAGCTCACTGCAGCCTTAACCGCCCAGGCTCAAGCAGTCCTGACCCCTAACCCGTCAGAGTGGCTGGAACCACAGGCCCGCACCACTGCACTCATCTGCACATGGCTAATGTTTAGATTTTTGTGCAGATGAGTTCTCACTCTGTGGCCCAGGCTGGTCGCAAAGCTTCAGGATCAAGAGATCTTCACTTCCCTCTCACACCCCTGACCTGTGCCGCGCTCTGTCCCCTGACCTGTGCCGAGCCCCATCCCCTGGCCTGTGCCGTGCCCCGTCCCCTGGCCTGTGCCGCGCTCTGTCCCCTGGCCTGTGCCGTGCCCTGTCCCCTGGCCTGTGCCACGCCCCGTCCCCTGGCCTGTGCTCTGCTCTGTCCCCTGGCCTGTGCCACACCCCGTCCCCTGGCCTGTGCTCTGCTCTGTCCCCTGGCCTGTGCTCTGCTCTGTCCCCTGGCCTGTGCTGTGCCCCATCCCCTGGCCTGTGCCGAGCCCCGTCCCCTGGCCTGTGCTCTGCTCTGTCCCCTGGCCTGTGCTCTGCTCCGTCCTCTGGCCTGTGCCGCGTCCCATCCCCTGGCCTGTGCTCTGCTCTGTCCCCTGGCCTGTGCTCTGCTCCAACCCCTGGCCTGTGCTGCACCCCGTCCCCTGGCCTGTGCTCTGCTCCGTCCCCTGGCCTGTGCCGCGTCCCATCCCCTGGCCTGTGCTCTGCTCTGTCCCCTGGCCTGTGCTCTGCTCCATCCCCTGGCCTGTGCTGTGTGCATTTCCCCCTTGCGCGTGCCATTCCTGATGGGCATTTAGGGTCCTTCCTGCTCTTCAGGTGACTCAGCAGCCAGTGCCCCTCGTTCCCACAAGCCCTTTCTCCAGTGCATGCTGCACCATGGACCTGCGGTTCTGAAGCGCTGGCCTTCATCACGTTACTGGCGGTGCCCACCATGCTCACAGGGCTGGTCGTTTTGCCCACCAGCCCCGCCTGTGGCTGCCGGCCCCTCACAGCCTCGCTAACATCTGTGTGGAGCTTTTTTTAGCTCTCCCAAAACAATCTGGGCATTTGGCTGCCAAGCGCCAGAGCCCTCGAGCTCTCAGTGCTGGCTGGAGGAACCCAGGCCGTCTCATGCCCGCTGGTGCCAGCTGTGATCAGGTCCTGGCCACGTTCCTCTAGGAGGCCGGCCGCTCACCTGTGACTGGGGGTCGCTGCAGTCCCTGTCCTGTGCCCACACCCAGGTTATTCTCACTTCCAGTCATGCCTTTCCCGATTCTCTGGCCAAGAATTCCCACCAGTGCGTCCACACCGCAGCTCCAGAGTCAGGGATCCCCCACCCATCTGCCTCACGTCGTGGCCTCCCTTCCCCCACCCATCTGCCTCACGTCGTGGCCTCCCTTCCCCCACCCATCTGCCTCACGTCGTGGCCTCCCTTCCCCCACCCATCTGCCTCACGTCGTGGCCTCCCTTCCCCCACCCATCTGCCTCACTGATGTCACCTCTCTTCTCTGCACTCCCCACAACTACGTTTCTTCCCTCTCTCCCTTTCTGACCCCGAGAAGCTGAGCGAATCTGTGCCCACTCTTGGTAGCCTGGGAAGGCCTCGGCCCTCCTCACCCAGCAAGGGCTGGCGCGGCCTCACACACATGTGGACTCACAGCCAGACACGGGTCCGTAGTCAGAGGTGGCCTGGTCAGGACCGGGCAGAATGCCACTGGGGTACACGCAAGTCCCAAGGGAGACACGCCAAGGACACCTGTGATGCCCTTCTGGCTTTTGAACCATGTAAATACTTTTTTTCTTTTTTTCTGAGACTGAGTCTTGCTCTGTTGCTCAGGCTGGAGTGCAGTGGCGCAATCTCAGCTCACCGCAACCTCTGCCTCCCGCGTTCAAGCGATTCTCCTGTGATTCTCCTGCCTCAGCCTCCCGAGTAGCCAGAATTACAGAGGCCCACCTGTAGAGATGGGGTTTCAGTATGTCTACCAGGCTGGTCTCCAACTCCTGACCTCAAATAATCCTCCCTCCTCAGCCTCGGAAAGTGCTGGGATTACAGGTGTGAGTCACCACACCCGGCCTCATGTAAATACTTTACACGTTCAAAATGCAGTTAAAAAAAGGAAGGAAGGAAAATCCTAAAATAGAACCGAGACAGAAGAAGTGACCCAGCGTGTGTCATGTTGAGGTGGTAATTGCAGGGAGGCAGAGTTACTGTGATTATTTTTAAATGCGGAGATTGAACTTCAACACCGGGAAACTCTGGGGCAAGGAGGGCCGGGAGAACCGGGGCGGGCCAGCGGCTGCCTCCCCGACAGCCCCAGCCGCATGGCGTCCCACTCCTGTCCCCGGCTGGGGCACCGATGGGGTTGTGCTGCTGTGAGACGCTCCCTGTGGCACCCGCAGACCGTGGTTTACACGGGGAGGCAGGAGCAGACCTGCCTGCAGCCAGCAGCACAGGCGTGGGGGGCTCCCGGTGGGACCCCGTCCCGTCTCCAGGGCCTTGCTCCCAGCTGACCCTTCTGCCCCTCCTTACTCTCCCCAGCTCCGCCGGGGGACGGCTATGTGCAGGCGGACGCCCGGGGCCCCCCGGACCCCGAGGAGCACCTGTACGTCAACACCCAGGGTCTGGACGCCCCTGAGCCGGACGACACGGCGCCCCTGCAGCCCAAGGACAGCCCCAAGAAGGATCTGTTTGATATGCGTATGTGGGCAGCCTGGGGGAGGCCCCGCCGCATGGCCCTGTTGTCTGATGGGGGAGGCACAGCACCAGCCCCCTCCCTCCGGGATCCCTGGTTTGTTGGGGGAGGCTCACCCTTCTCCCCTTGAGATTCTTCAAGTCGACAGGGGTGGTGGGGAAGCCCGGTCTGTTTCCTGTTGGAGGCCTTGTCCGATGGGGGCGGCCTGGACTCTGCTGTGAAAGGGGCAGTCTGAGAGGGGAGGGTGTTTCCTGCCAGCAGCTGAGCTGGACTCTGCAGTCTGACTGGGAGTGCTGCTGGCCCCCACCCTGTGAGAAGCTCCGGTCTCTCAGGGGTGCCCCACCTGCCTCTGTCGGAATCCCCCCACCGTCTGAAGGGAGGGGGTTCGTCATTTCTTGAAAGAATGGTCCATGTGGCGGGAGGCTGCGGCCCCCTCTGTGAGACCCTCCGGTCAACAGGGGAAGCCAGACCCACGCTCCATGCCCTGCGGACTCCTTAGTCCGAGAGGGGAGGCCTTGTCTTTTCTCTGTGGGACCTGCTGCCTGCCGGGGCTCGGGTGGCCACCTGCTCTGTGGGTCGTGCACCCGACTCTGGGACTCCCTGATCTGATGAGGAAATTAAGCTTTCTCTCCATGTGACTCCGAGGATTCTTCCTATGGAAGTCCCAGCCTGACGGGGGAGGCGCAGCTTCCTGCTTGAAGGAACCCCTGGTCCAAGGAGGGAGGCTCGGTCCACACCCCGACACAGTGGCTAGTCGGATGGAGCCCCTTCCTTCCTTCCTTCCCAGTGGGATGGCCCAGCCCGAGGGAGGCCCCAGTCTGAAGGAGGAGGCTCGTCCTTCCTCGCCAAAGGTGTCCAGAGTTGTCTCTGGATTTCCTGCAGCGTCCGTGCTGCAGCACGAGGGGTGCTGGCTCTGAGCTGCCGGGTGGGGTCCTCGCCCAGGCCCCGGACACCTCCCCAGCTGGCTGTAGGTTCCTTCCTTCCCTCCACCCTCTGACAACGCAGCTTCTTAGCATCACACTGATGACACCAGCTGGCACCCAGTGGGCGCCTCCTCAGCACCAAGCGCTGCACAGAGCCAGGCCCTCTCGGCCCCTCGCGGCAGCCTCAGATGGGAAAGGAGGGGCTTGAGCTGTGAGTTCCCTCCGAGGCAGGCGACCCTCAGGGCGACCGGACTGACTGCCAAGCAGCCCCCAGTGAGGGAGGGCGGCTTCTCGTCTGTCCTCCACGCAGAGTCCTCTGGCTGCTTCTGATTTGCCACATGGTTATTCCCAAACCAACTGCTGGCTGGAGGGCGAGGAACATGCAGAGTGGCCAGGCTAGGAGTCGGAGGTGGCTCAGCGCCAGGGTCAGGGCGGGAGGACTCGGGGGAGCAGGAGCCGGAGGAGTGCAGGGCCACCCCACCACAGGGAGACCAGGTGGTAAGGGTCAGGGTGGGAGGACTCCGGGACCAGGAGTTAGAGGAATTCGAGGCCACCCCACCCACAGGTAGCTGCATCTCCGTCAGGGCCGGGGTCCCGGGCTGCAGCGTCTGAGCTGCGCTGCTTTCTGCCTGGGGAAACACCCACCCCTGCTTTACAGCGAGGGGACTGAGGCTCTGAGGAGGCCTGAGTGGCCTGTTGGAGGTTGGTACCATTGGAACCTTCAGGAAACCCGGGCGGATGATTAAGAGGGTTTTCGCTGGCGCTCAGGACCACAGAGGGAGCCTGCTCCCGTGTGGGCGTGTGGCGTGTGCTGGAGGTCGTGGCCAGCGCAGTAAGGCCAGTGAGGAAACAGGAGGGGACCCTTCAGGAAGGAAGCCCGCCTAACAAGGCGAGAAGGAGAAATAGGAGTTTATGTCTGAAACACAGAGTGGCTGCCGCCCTCTTACAAGCTTACAAAACTCAGCCCGGGCTTCCAGCTGCTGCACACGTGAGCCACAGCACGCATGGGGCTGAGTGGAGTGCGGGTCTGATACGCTGTGGGTGCTCGGTCAGCGCAGGCCGATAAGGTCAGGGGGGGCCTCCCCGGGGAACCCGTTCCTCCCAGCCCTCGTCCTGGCAGGAGCAGCTGCCCAGACCCCTACGTGGTCCCTGCCCTCCCAGCTCTCCTGTCCCTGGTCTGCAGGATTCCTAGGGGAACCCGTTGCTCTCAGCTCTGGTCCCAGCAGGAGTAGCTGCCCAGCCCCCTACGCGGCCCCTGCCCGCCCAGCACTGCTGTCCTTGCCCACAGGACCCTTTGAGGATGCCTTGAAGCTGCATGAGTGCTCAGTGGCCACGGGTACAGCAGCCCCCCTTCCCTTGGAGGACCAGTGGCCCAGCCCCCCAACCCGCCGGGCCCCAGTGGCCCCTACAGAGGAGCAGCTGCGGCAGGAGCCCTGGTACCACGGCCGGATGAGCCGCCGGGCGGCAGAGAGGCTGCTTCGTGCGGACGGGGACTTCCTGGTGCGGGACAGCGTCACCAACCCCGGGCAGTATGTCCTCACTGGCATGCACGCGGGGCGGCCCAAGCACCTGCTGCTGGTGGACCCTGAGGGCGCGGTGAGTGGGCACAGCTGGGGGGAGTCTGTGGGCATCCGACCCTGAGGGTGCGGTGAGTGGGCACAGCTGGGGGTTCTGTGGGCATCCGACCCCGAGGGTGTGGTGAGTGGGCACGGCTGGGGGGTCTGTGGGCATCCGACACCGAGGGCACGGTGAGTGGGCACAGCTGGGGGGCCTGTGGGCATATGACCCCAAGGGCATGGTGAGTGGGCACAGCTGGGGGGTCTGTGGGCATGACACCGAGGGCACGGTGAGTGGGCACAGCTGGGGGGTCTGTGGGCATGACACTGAGGGCACGTTGAGTGGGCACAACTGGGGGGTCTGTGGGGGGTCTGTGGGCATCGAACCCCGAGGGTGTGGTGAGTGGGCACGGCTGGGGGGTCTGCGGGCATCCAACCCCGAGGGTGCGGTGAGTGGGCACGGCTGGGGAGTCTGTGGGCATCCGACCTGGAGGGCGCGGTGAGTGGGCACAGCTGGGGGGGTCTGTGGGCATATGACCCCGAGGGCACGGTGAGTGGGCACAGCTGGGGGTCTGTGGGCATCCGACCCCTAGGGCATGGTGAGTGGGCACAGCTTGGGGGTCTGTGGGCATATAACCCTGAGGGCACGGTGAGTGGGCACAGCTGGGGGGGTCTGTGGGCATCCGACCCGGAGGGCGTGGTGAGTGGGCACAGCTGGGGGGTCTGTGGGCATCCGACCCGGAGGGCGTGGTGAGTGGGCACAGCTGGGGAGTCTGTGGGCATCCGACCCAGAGGGCGTGGTGAGTGGGCACAGCTGGGGGGTCTGTGGGCATCTGACCCGGAGGGCGTGGTGAGTGGGCACAGCTGGGGGGTCTGTGGGCATATGACCCCGAGGGCATGGTGAGTGGGCATAGCTGGGGGTCTGTGGGCATCTGACTCCGAGGGCACGGTGAGTGGGCACAGCTGGGGGTCTGTGGGCATATGACCCCGAGGGCACGGTGAGTGGGCACAGCTGGGGGGTCTGTGGACATCGACCCCGAGGGCATGGTGAGTGGGCACAGCTGGGGGTTTGCGGGCATCCAGAGGCTCTCAGTATTGCCGAAGCTTTTCCAGATTGTTACGGATGTTGCCTTTCAGCGGCTACTATGGAATTACAAAGTAGTTTCCAGTTTATTTTTGAGACAGAGTCTGGCTCTGTCACCTGGGCTGGAGCGCAGTGGTGCAGTCGTAGCTCTCTGCAGCCTCCAACTCCTGGGCTCAAGCGATCCTCCTGCCTCACTCAGCTCCTGCATAGCTGGCACTATCGGTGTGAGCCACCACGCCCGGCTAATTTTTATAGAGATTGGGGGGGGGGGGGCTCTTGCTATATTGCCCAGGCTGGTCTCGAACCAGTGGCCTCAAACGATCCTCCTGCCTCAGCTCCTGCATAGCTGGGACTATTGGTGTGAGCCACCACGCCCAGCTAATTTTTATAGAGATGGGGTGGTCTTGCGATCTTGTCCAGGCTGGTCTTGAACCAGTGGCCTCAAGCGATCCTCCTGCCTTGGCCTCCCAATCGTAATTCCAATCTTATGATTTCTCCCATTGCCACCTGCTCTTCCCTCTCCATTCATCCTGACTTACGCACCTTACAAATGGTAATGTACTTGAGGGATAAACAGGGTATTATCAGATCTAATTTATCTGAGGGTATACAAAGCATGTCTCCATTTACAGAGTTTTGGGAGCAAGTTACTGAACTGATTCATTCTTTTAATGTTTCTTTGCCTGAGTTTTGTTCTTGTTTCCCAGGCTGGAGGGCAATGGCCTGATCTCGGCTCACCACAAACTCCGTCTCCTGCGTTCAAGTGATCCTCCTGCCTCAGCCTCCCAAGTAGCTGGGATTACAGGCGTGCGCCACCAGGCCCCGCTAATTTTTTGTTTAGTAGAGATGGGGTTTCACCACGTTGGCCAGGCTGGTCTCGAACTCCTGACCTGAGGTGATGCGCCTGGGATGGTTACTGCCGAGTTTAAAATGAGGAAACCGAGGCCAGTATAAGAACAATCAGATGCCAATTTATTTATCTCCTGGGCGAGGTTCTGTGGTCTTAAGGAAAAGGGGGGCCAGAGAAGTCGCGCTTGACTTCTCAGGGCAGGGGGTTTTATGGGGGTTAGAGGGGGGCTGGCCTAGGATGCACAGGGTGGGCTGCCATTGGGTAAGGCTTGGCGGGATTTCTTCAGTTTTCGCGGGTTCAGCTGTATAGTTTCATGCTGAGATGCACAGTTTAGTGCTGAATAGAGACCTGGGGACAGAATGCAGAAGTGGGCGAGGGGCGCCCGTGTGGAGGAGCCAGATGCCGAGTCATGTGCTCTGCCTGAGAAGCTGTTACCAGCATAGAGAGGGGTGGGTGTTGTCCATCCGGCTCTTAGCAAGGCTGTCCTCGGCCTCCCAAAGTGCTGGGATCACAGGCGTGAGCCACCGTGCCTGCCCGGCCAAATGTCTTCACTTCCAGGATAGACGCTCTCCCTGCCGCGATTGTGACAACTTTGGAGTCTGGGCTTTGTTTTTCGAACCACTGTCTGCATGTTTGAACCGTGTCATTATTTGATGGTGGTTTTCCTCCCCTCTCCTCCTGCATCTTACGGCCGCTCTGGGCCGATGAGATTCTGTAATCTCCAGCTTCTAAAGCGTTCTAGGGTTTACAAAGCGTTTTCCAATTTACAAGGAGTTCTAGGGCTTACGAAGCGTTTCCGGCATCCAAGGGCCTTGGGCTGCACAGATTATTTCCCAGGCGGGGAGGTGCTAGGGAGTTAGGAGGCCTCTCAGGGTTTAGGAGGTGTTTTTTTCAGCCATCCAGCTGCACTTGCAGCCTGGTCTCCGCAGGAAGCACATTGTGGGGGTGCGGAGGGGTGCTTGTGTACCCCAGCCTGGGACAAAGCTGGGGTGGGGCTTGGGTGAGAGGTGTGTGTTCTGGTTCCTGAGCCCTCCACACTGTTTCAGGTCTCCCCGCCCCTGCCCGGCCTTCAGCCTGGTGTGCGATGCCCCAGTTCTTTCCCCGGTCAGATTCCCTCTGGTAAATGGATCCCTGGGGTCAGACTGGCAGCTCCCACACCTGGAGAAGCTTCAGAACATCTACTGGTACTTTGTTAAAAGGCAGATTCCGCGGGGCGCGGTGGCTCAAGCCTGTAATCCCAGCACTTTGGGAGGCTGAGGCGGGTGGATCACGAGGTCAAGAGATCGAGACCATCCTGGTCAACATGGTAAAACCCCATCTCTACTGAAAATACAAAAATTAGCTGGGCATGGTAGCGCGTGCCTGTAGTCCCAGCTACTCAGGAGGCTGAGGCAGGAGAATCTCTTGAATTGGGGAGCCCAGATGGAGCCGTTGCACTCCAGCCTGGGTGACAGAATGAGAATGAGATTCTGTCACACACACACACACAAAGAAGCCAGGGTCACACCTGTAATCCCGGCACTTTGGGAGGCTGAGGTAGGCAGATCATGAAGTCAGGAGTTCAAGACCAGCCTGACCAACGTGGTGAAACCCCATCTCTACTAAAAGTATAAAAATTAGCCGGGCATGGTGGTGGGTGCCTGTAATCCCAGCTACTCAGGAGGCTGAGGCAGGAGAATCACTTGAACCCGGGAGGTGGAGGTTGCGGTGAGATGGACTCCCGCTTGGGCAACAGAGTGAGACTCCATGTCTCACACACACACACACACACACACACACACACACACACACACACACAATAAACCAGCAGAGATTCATTCTCATGGCTCTGGAGACCAGAAGCCTGAACTCAGCTGGGGCTGAGCTCCTGGAGGCTCTGAGGGAGCCTGGGTCCAGCCCCTCCCGGCACCTGCTGGGCTTGTGGACCCTCAGCTCCCATCTCTGCCTCCTCCTGTGTATCAGTCCTGTCGGGACAGAGCTGTGGGACTCAGGGCCCACCTGAGTCATCCTGCCCTCACCTGTCCCGGTACCCTTCACCTGACCTGTGCATCTCCAGAGACCTTTTCCCGGTGAGCTCACATTCATGGGTGCTCAGGGCTCCGGGGTCTCCCTTCAGCCCATGGCAGGAAGTGTGGACGCAGGACCCAGGGGTTTTGGAGGCTGTGTCCGTGCTTGGGCAACGGAGTGAGACTCCATCTCAAAATATAATAATGATAACCAGCAGAGATTCATTCTCACGCCTCTGGAGGCCAGAAATGGTTCTGGAATTCTGAAGCCGACCCTGTGGCTGGAGTCCCGGAATTCTGTGGTCCGGCCACTTGGCTGTGCGGCCACCCCGGGGCTCCCCGGCAGGACCTGGGAACGCAGCTGTCCGACCGCGTGGGTCCAGGCGGGCTCCGGGCGCTGATACCCAGGTCTCCGCCTGCAGGTGCGGACGAAGGACGTGCTGTTTGAGAGCATCAGCCACCTGATCGACCACCACCTGCAGAACGGGCAGCCCATCGTGGCGGCGGAAAGCGAGCTGCACCTGCGCGGCGTGGTCTCCCGGGAGCCCTGAGCCACGTGCGTGGCCGCCACGGCCGCCGGCCTCGTCCTATTTGCCAGGTGCTTTTCTAGCTTGAAAATAGAGACACGGTTCACGTGTCCCACGTTTCCCTCGTGTAGAGCACGACGCAGGGGCATTCGGCATCCGAGCCGTGCAGCCGCCACCTCTGTCGCGTTCCAGAACATTCTGTCAGCCCCGAAAGAAGCCCCGTCCCCGCCAGCCATCACTCCCCGGCCCCTCCCCTGCCCCGGCACCCGCACACCCGTCCCCTGTCTCTGTGGGTCAGCCTGTCCTGGACATTTCAGGGAAATGGGACATGGCTGACCCACAGAGGCCTTCCGTGTCTGGCGTCTCTTGCCGAGTGTGACATCCTCAAGGTGAGTCCCTCAGTGGCTGGGTCTGAGCCTGGCTGCTTTTCACGGCTGGAGAATGTTGCACTGTGTGGTGGGACCTTCTGTTGGTCAGTTTAGCCGCTGAGGGACAACGGGGCTGCTTCCACCTTCTGGCCACCGTGAGCCTTCCTGGGCAGGTTTTTTTCTTTTTTTTTAAATTGCATTTTAGGTTTTGGGGTACATGTGAAGAACATGCAAGATAGTTGCATAGGTACACACGTGGCAGCGTGAGTTGCTGCCTTCCTCCCCTTCACCTGTATCTGGCATTTCTCCCCATGCTATCTCTCCCCAACTCCCCACCCCTTGCTGTCCCTCCCCTATTCCCCCCAACAGACCCCAGTGGGTAGTCGTGGGCAGGTTTTTTTTAATGCCCTCAATTAAAGCGGTTTTCCTGCCTCACCCTCCCGAGTAGCTGGGATTACAGGCACCCACCACCACGCCTGGCTAACTTTTGTATTTTTAGTAGAGACGGGGTTTAACCATGATGGCCGGGCTGGTCTCGAACCCCTGACCTCATGATCTGCCCACCTCGGCCTCCCAAAGTGCTGGGATCATAGGCGTGAGCCACGGCGCCGGCCACATCACCTGATGTTTATGGAACCCTGCTTCATGCTGAGTGTCCACGCCCCCCTCCCAGAGGAGTGGTGGACCCCACTGGAGAGTGTGGGGTGGGGTTGGGGGGATGCCAGGGCAGGTAGGGGCTGGCATGTGAGCCCAGGCAGGGAGAAGACCATGCCTCAGGCTGGGCCGGGCAGCTTCGGGCCTCCACTTTTGGGCCTGGCGGGGGCGGGGGAGGGGCCCACGGTAGGGTGTGGACAGGGGAGTACCAGGCAAGTCTGCGTGATTTCAGGGTCTCTCCTCCGGGTGAGGTGGGGCAGGAGAGGCTGCCACTTTGGGGCTGAGGGTATGGAGGCCGAGAGAGCAGCCCAGGGAGGAGGGAGGGCCACAGGGGGAGGGGGCTGTGGAATTTCCCCAAGGGCTGCGCTTCTGGGCCAGGTCGGGCCGCTCTCGGTCCCCATGACAACAGTCTGCTTCCTGCCTCCTCTCCTGGGCAGCACCTCCCCCACGCAGCCGGCCTCAGGCTGCAGGAAGAGGGGGTTCTGGGCCTGGGAGAGGCTTTGGGGACCCAGAGGGGGCGAGGCGGAACCGAGGTGTGGCTGGCACAGAACCCACGTCTGCGGCCGCCGTCTGGGCCCTGACCTCGCCTTCTCTTTCCGCCCGCAGGTGCCCGTCCTCATGGCCTTGGGGCTCTCAGCCCTCCTCCTGGATCCTGGTCAGGCGGGAGCCTCTCCTTTCTCCGCATGAGCCTTAGGCATGGTCCCTCCTCCAGCCGCCCCGGGCTGGGCAGAGCTTCCTGACGGCCGGGGCCCCTGCCCACCCCTCCCTCCGCCTGGAGTAAGGTGTTCATACCAAAGACGGAACCTTTTCTCGCCTTTAAAGAAAACGTCTCCTGAAGCGGCCGCTGCCTTAGGCCCGTGGGGGCCCCTCTGGCCAGGCGGGTTCGGTCTAGCGCCCGGAGCAAGGGGCTACCAGGACCCCGGGGAGGAGGCGGGCTCCGGGCCTGGCTGGGCTTACTTTTCCCGCCCGAGGAACTGGGCGCACAGTTGTCTTTGAGGGGGGACAATTAAGGTGCTTTGGGGTTCTCAGGCCGGGACACAGGCTGACGTTGAAGTGGGGGCAGCCTTGCAGTCACCTGGGATGACGGGGGCAGCCAGGCCACTCCAAGATGGTTGATATGGGGCAGCCGTGAGGTCCCTGCCCCACCTGGGAGCAGGAGGAAGGACGTGGCTGCCTGGCCTGGGCGGTGCCTACCAGTTTCCCCCACCTGCCTTCCCAGCGGTGGACCGAGACTGGACATTTGCAACCTGGGAGTGACCACAGGAGCACGAGCTCACCTGCCCTCCCGGGGGTCCCTGCGGGGCTGAGGCTGGGAGGCTCCTCCCAGGTGCACAGCGGTTGGGAAGGCTCACAGGGACCATGTCTGGCCTCCCTGGGGGCCTGGACTTGGGGAGAAGGGAGGTGACGCCATGCGTGTGCTCATGCCTGGCAGGTTGTGGGGTGACCCATCTGCCCAGCAGCCCCGTCTCCTCTTTCCGTTACCTCTGTTTTATCCAGGATAAAACACACTTCAACTTCTCCATTAAACACCTCTCCCACCTCTTTGGAGACACCGTTTCATCACCCAAACGCCAAACCTCTCTCTCAAGACGGCCCGGTGCGCGTCGGACGAGAGCTTTGCTTTCTTCCCCAGGATGCCCCCAGCGTGGCCTTAGACGGGGCCTGCCCTGCTGTCTTCCTAGCGTGTCTCTCACTGTGTCTTCAGACATCCTCCTCGATGCCCCGCTCCTGATGCCCAGCTTAATGCCCAAGCACGCCAGCCTCTGTGCCTCAGACCTGCCATGTTATATCTGAGCCTCTGCCTCCCAGAGACCCCCGACTTCTCCCACAAACACAGCATCTTTCCAGGGGAGAGGTTCCCAACCTCGCCACGTCCCTGCTGGCCGTCTCAAGGGCCCAGGATCTCTGGGGAGGAGAGAATCTCTGACTGCTTTCTCTGCAGTTGGCAAGCCCTACCCACTGCTCTAGGGGTCAGGTCTAGTAAGGGTGTGTGTGGGGAGTAAAAGCCAGTCTGGTTTGTCCTTAACCAGGACTGGAGCCTTCAAAAGGAACTTCGATGACACGTGTCTTATTTCAGAGATGTGGAGAAAGAGCCACCCATCCATCCTCCCATCTATGTATCAGTAACCCACTTGTCCATCCATCCATCTACACATATATCAGTAACCCATTCATCCATGCATCCATCGTCCATCTATAAATCAATCAGTATCCCACCATCTGCCCCCCATCTACACATCCATCAGTATCTAACCAACCAACCATCTACATATCCATCTACACAACCAACCCACTCACCCATCCATCATCCATCTATAAATCAATCAGTAACCCACCATCCATCCCCCATCTACACATCCACCAGTAACCCACTCATCTATGCATTCAACCATCCATCCATCCCCCATCTACACACCCATCAGTCATCCATCCACCCATCCATCCCCCATCTATACACCCATCAGTCATCCATCCATCCCCCATTCATCCCTCATCTATACACCCATCAGTCATCCATCCATCCATCACCATTCATTCATCCCCCATCTACACACCCATCAGTCATCCATCCATCCATCCATCCATCTATCCATCCATCACCCATTCATCCCCCATCTATACACCCATCAGTCATCCATCCATTCATCACCGATTCATCCCCCATCTACACACCCATCAGTCATCCACCCATCCATCCATCACCCATTCACCCCCTACCTATACATCCATCAGTCATCCATCCATCACCCGTTCATCCCCCATCTACACACCCATCAGTCATCCATCCATCCATCACCCATTCATCCCCATCTACACACCCATCAGTCATCCATCCATCCATCTATCCATCCCCCATTCATCCCTTATCTATACACCCATCAGTCATCCATCCATCCATCACCCATTCATCCCCCATCTATACACCCATCAGCCATCCATCCATCCATCCATCACCCATTCATCCCCCATCTATACACCCATCAGTCATCCATCCATCCATCCATCCATCACCCATTCATCCCCAGTCTGTACACCCATCAGTCATCTGCCCATTGATCCATTCACTCACCTGGTCCCCCATCCATCTGCCTGACCCTCCATCATCATTCTACCCATCCATTTTCCATCTGTCCATCCATCCCCCCATCTATCAGTCATCCACCTGTCTACTGATTGTTCATTCCATTCACTGCTCCCCTTGCTCCCACCCCCACCTTTCAGCATGCTTGCATTGAGTATCTTTCATCTGCCAGGAGCTCTGGCGGGCAAACAGGATGCAGTAGTGACAGAGACAGATCTGCCCTCGTGGAGTTAATGGCCAAGTGACATTCATCAGCAGATCACTCAGCAGATCACCCACTGTGGAGTGAGTGAGGTGGCTCACGCCTGTAATCCCAGCACTTTGCGAGGCTGAGGCTGGCGGATCACCTGAGGTCAGGAGTTGGAGACCTGGCCAACATGTCAAAAACCCATGTCTACTAGAAATACAGAAATGAGGTGGGTGTGGTGGTGCGTGCCTGTAATCCCAGCTACTCGAGAGGCCGAGGCAGGAAAATACCTTGAAACCGGGAGGCAGAGATTGTAGTGAGCTGAGGTTGCACCACTGCACTCCACATTGGGGGACAGAGCAGGAGACCGTGTCTCAGAAGCAAAACAAAACAAAAACCCCACAAACACCTATGGGAAGCAGTGAGCCCTGGAGCTTACAGACCCCAGGAAACCCAGGGGATATCTTTGTGGGAACAACACAGGGACCACGATTGGAGGCTGAGGCCCCAGGTGAAGAAAGTAGCGTGTTGAGCAGAGCAGACAGTATGTGCAAAGGCCCTGTGGTGTGTCCAGCCAGCACAGCCAGGGAGCAGAAGGGTGGCCTGTGTGGCTGAGGTGAGGACACTGAGCTTGGGGGAGGCCTGGGGCCAGGAACAGCTGCCAGAGGTCTTTTAAGCACAGGGGCAATGCGTGTGGATTCCCTGTGATATTTCCCAGTGGGAAGCACAATGCTGGGAACGGGACAGGAATCGGGGGGAGGGCAGGGAGGAGGCACTGGACCAGGGAAGTGCTGGGGAGTGAGAAGTGGCAGATCCCAAGACATGTAGGCCAGAGAGGGTCTGCGTGCACTTCATTCATTCGTGCATTCATTCATTCATACGTAGCCTTGGGTCCCCAGGCCCAGGTTGCCCATCCACACCCCACCTCTGTCTGTCCTCTTCGAAGTCCTTATGTAAATAGAACTGGCGCCTGCTGGGACATGTGCCAAGAACAGCATGAACTCGGGGTGCTGGGATGCTCCCACTTTACAGATGAGGAAACAGAGGTTCGGAGAGGTGAGGTGACTTCAGAGACCATCCCACTGGGAGGGTGAAGCTCGTTTTGGAGGGCCCCCATCTCCCAGTCCTGTTCTCTGCGCTGGAAGAGCCTGAGTGCCGAGACGCCTGGCTCCAGCCGGGTCCACGCCTGTCTCCTACCCCTTCCTACCTTTGTACTTCCGATAATTGGAGTCATTAACTCAATAATCCGATCCTCGGGAGCCTGAGCCTGGAGTGGGAGGCAGGAGAATCCCGGGTCAGATTCAACCTCTAGTGTGCTGTGCCGCTTGTGTGAGTTGCCTCCCTCCCCGAATCGAATACATGAGGAGATGGGAGGATCTCCCGTGGAGGGGCCAGGATGCCCCGGGTACCAGCTAGAGCCGTGGTGGGGGGGCCAGGATGCCCGGGTACCAGCTAGAGCCATGGCGGGGGGGCCAGGATGCCCGGGTACCAGCTAGAGCCGTGGTGGGGGGGCCAGGATGCCCGGGTACCAGCTAGCGCCATGGTGGGGGGGCCAGGATGCCCAGGTACCAGCTAGAGCCGTGGGGGGGGGGCCAGGATGCCCGGGTACCAGCTAGAGCCGTGGTGGGGGGGCCAGGATGCCCAGGTACCAGCTAGAGCCGTGGTGGGGGGGCCAGGATGCCCGGGTACCAGCTAGCGCCATGGGGGGGGGCCAGGATGCCCGGGTACCAGCTAGCGCCGTGGGGGGGAGGCCAGGATGCCCCGGGTACCAGCTAGCGCCGTGGGGGGACCAGGACGCCCCGGGTACCAGCTAGCACCGTGGGGGAAGGCCAGGACTCCCCGGGTAACAGTGCCTTGGGGGGGGCCAGGATGCCTGGGGTACCAGCTGGTATTGACTGAGCGCCCGCCCTGCGGCAGGCCTGGAGGTCAGCTGGTTCTGTCCGCTCCATGAGGAATCAGGCCACTCCCCCGTGCCTCAGTGTCCCTATCTGGAAAGGCGATGACCCTCCTAAGCCTTCCCACTGGGCTAACCTGTGATACTCGGACCAGCCCCGTCCCTCCTGGGAGCTCACAGACAGTCCTGCTCCTGGGATTGTTTTATTATTAAGCCGCCCCACCTTTTCCTGAGGCCCTTAGGGTAAGTCACCAAGCTGCACACAGGTGCCCAGTGGCCTCCTCAGCACGGAAGCTCCGACTGCAGACACTTTTTTATTCTTAAACCACCTCCCGGAGGCCACTGTGGGGCAGCCTTAGATTCGGGCCTGGCTCTGGGAAGCCCCATGTCCCTGAGGGGGCCCCCACCTGGGGCGGTGGAGGCCAAAGTCACCCAGCACGAGGTGCCATGACTTGGAGCCGAGATGGGCTGGTCAGTGCCACCTGGGCCGCCTTGTCCAGCCTGAGCCGGAATCCCCAGGCCCCGGTCTCCGATCCCTGAGGGCTGCGGCTGGGCTGCTGCAGAGGGAGGCAGAAGGTTCTGTTGACCCGGAGAAGCTCCTGTTTACCTACTGAGGGTGCAGAGCTAACCAGCCAGAAGGCCCGGCCTCCCTGCCCCTGCCTGCCCCTGCCCCTGCCCCTGCCCTGCCCAGAGCGGGTCGGTGTCAGTCCACAGGGCAAGTGTAGGGACCCATCCCCGGTACCTTTCGGGCCTGTTTCCACAGCCCCCAAATGTGACAGGGCATTGGGATCGGGTGGGGCCTCTGGCTGAGGCAGGCTGTGGTGGGGTCAGGGCTCCGGGCGCACTTCGAGATCTGGGTCAGCTCCAGCTGAGTCCCCTTCCTCACCTGTGAGGCGTCTGAGGAAGACTGATGGAGGCAGTCATAAAGACTGCTCTAGAACGTTGCACGTGGTCATCTGTTGAACCCCCACCGGAATGCCATGATGTCCTGTGCCGCCGGAGACGAAGGTCCCGATGCCTGTCCAGCGTCATACCTCGGGACGTGATGGCGCCAGGACTCAGGCCCCGACTGAGAGCTGTCCCCTTCCCTCCCTGGGCCCTGGTCTCCCAGTCTGCAATGGAGGAGGGTGGTTCTGTGGCCCCTGAGGCCCCTCCCGTTCCGCCTGCTGACAGAACATTGTTCCCGCAGTGATGCTATTCCCCACCTTGGCAAATGTTTGTTGGAGACGTGGCTGGCCTGGGCTCTGGGGAGACTACAGGGATGAGACCTCCAGGACCGTCCTCCCGACCCGGGGCCCAGCAGGGGCTGCGGATGGCAGCCAAGGGTGTTCATGGCGGCAGAGCTGGGGCTCGGGGGCCCTGCCAGGCTGTGGTGGGCAGCGGTGGTGAAGGGGAGAATCTCTTTGTGTCCGCCTCCCTGTCAGACTTCGGGGCTGCATCACGATTGCTCCAGCACAAAGTGGGGGTTCTTCAGTGTTTGCTGGGTGAACGAGGCTGAGATGGCCTCTCATAAGGGGTCACAGCTCCTCCGGGTCTCACTCTCCCCCTGGACGGCACGACCCTAACCCCTCACTGCAAGGGTGCGTGGAGAGCAGGGAGGCCTCAGCCCAGCTCCCTCACCGTCCTGGACCCCTTTTCTGCCACTGTGGCCGCAGCCGTTCCTCCAGCTTCAGCCGTATCAAGATGTGGGGACATTCCCAGAACTCGGAGGCTCCTGGTCAATCGATAATTTAATTAAGCACCAGGCGTCCACTGGCTCCGGGCTGGTCCTGGCGATATGTTATCTTGCTAGCTCTGTGCATGCAGAGGCTGGGAGCTGCTCAGCTCGGTTCCAGAAGAGGAAACTGAGGCGGGGAGGGAGAAAAGGAAGCAGTGAAGGCTGAAGCTGGCAGATCACAGGAGCAGCTGGCAGGAGGTGGGTCTGGGCCTCAGGAAGAGAGACCCTATGGTCTCAGGAACTGAAGGGGAAGCCTGGGCTTGGACTGCTCTTACCCTCTCTGGGATTCTCCATCGTGAATCACGCCCTGACCTTCTCCCTTCGCCCTGACCCTCATAGTTTCTTTCCTCCTGGATTCCTGCTCCGGAAGTCACCACCCACAGCTCTGTGCCACCTGTGCGCTGTGGGCCATCCTGCCCCCCGCATCGCCAGGGCTGGGCCACCTCCCTCCGTCCCAGCTGTGTCCCCAGCGGCCAGGGCACTGTCCAGCATCTAGCAGGTGCTCGGGAAAGGTTTTATGTGAAATGAAGGAGCAGCCCCCTTTCAGTCTTCCTGGCGGCTGCTGAGAGGTCACCCCTTTAGTCAAACCAGCTCTCCTCGCTGTTCCGTCCTTGTTTCTGGAAGGAAACCCCCACCTTCCTCATCTGCAAATTGGGGATTGCAGTAGGACCTGCGTGCCGGGTTGCGTGAGAGTCAGGGACCCACCAGGACGCCGGGGGGCTGGCAGGGAGGAAGGCTGCATCATCACCGCGGCTGCGTTTGTTACTGCTGCCGTTTAATTCGTCGTCGTTAGTCGGGAAAGCTCCTCGCCGGAGAAGTGGCCGGCAGCGAGTGGGGGTTCTGGGGCTCCGGCTGAGCGCCCGGGGTGGCCAGCAGCCAACCGCGACCACCTGCTGCTTTCCCACCCGCCCCCGTCACCCCCGGATCCTGGCCAGGCTCCTCCCTGCCAACGGCCTCCGGGGACTGCGGGGAGACGGCGCCACCCCCGTCTCTGGGGGGCGGAGCGGGGCGGGGGCGCGGGCGGCCGTACTAGGAGGAATACGGCGGCGGCGGCGGCGGGGCTGGGCGGTTTCCCGCCGCGGGTGAAAGAGTCCGACTGCGCGGCCGCCGCCCGCATCCCCGCTCCGGCCGCGTCCCCCGCGCCAGCCCCGGGAGCCCGCGCGCCGAGACCCCTGCGCGTGTCCAGCGTCCGGCCCGAACCCCGGGCAGGTGAGTGCGGGGGCCCCGCCCGTTCCGCTGGGGGCTGCCAGGACCCCACCCCCAACCCGAGCTGAGTCTGGAGAGGGCGGGGGTGGGGGGACCCCGGGGAGTCGACTCGCTGCGCTGTTGGCCCCAGACCTCCCGCCCTCCCCCCACCCGCCTGGCCCTGCGGTCGGCGGAGAAGCCACAGGTGGGTGGGAGCGGGGGGCGGAGCTGGGACACCCCGGGGGCCACCCGCAGCCGCGTCTTCCCCGGGGACTGAGCGCGGAACGCTGTGGAGGGCGCGCTGGAACGCTCGGAGCCAGCGTCGGGGCGGGAGCGCGGCCTCTCCCCCCTCCCCGGAGCTCCCCCGGGAGTCAGAGATCCCCCCCCCCCGTCCCCCACCGCCCTGGGCTTGGGACTGGAAGTTACGCGGGATCTCTCCGGAAAACGGGGGGCGAACCCGCCTCGCCCTCACCCCTGCCCTGGGCCGCGGCGCCCGGGGGACCCCAGGACCCTCCGCCCCCGCTGTCCGGGGCGGCCCCACCAGGAACAGGTGCCCGGGCCCTGCCGCCGCCCCCGGCCCCTGACCCCGGCTTCTCTCCGCAGGCGCCGCAGCCCCGGTCCCGGCCGCCCCCATGAGAAAAAGCAACATGTGGTTCCTGGGGCGGCTTCGGGGGTCCGGGGAGAACGGCCGGGGCGTGGGGGGCGACGCAGGCGACAAGGCCTCCAAGGGGCCGCTGTACAGCAACGTGCTGACGCCCGACAAGATCCCCGACTTCTTCATCCCCCCCAAGCTGGCCTCGGGCCCCGCGGAGGCGGAGGGACAGGCCGCGCTGGGCCCGTCCACGTCGGAGCAGAACCTGGCCCCGGCCTCGCCCCGCCAGGCCCCCCGCAGCCCCCGACTGTCCGCCAAGCTGGCGGCCGAGAGCAAGAGCCTGCTGAAGGCGGCGACCCGGCACGTGATCCAGATCGAGAGCGCGGAGGACTGGCCGGAGGAGGCCCCCCTCGACCCCCTGGCCCCGGGCGCCATGTCCCTGCCCTCGGTGCCCAAGGCCCAGACGTCCTACGGCTTCGCCACGCTGGCCGAGAGCCCCCACACGCGGCGCAAGGAGTCCCTGTTCCACAGTGAGCACGGGGCCCTGGCCCAGGTGGGCTCCCCGGGTGCCGGGCGCCGCCGGGCACCTGCCAAGGCCAACGGGGGTAATGGGGGCCCCAGGGAGGCTGGCGGGGCCCTCATGAGCCCCGGCCGCGGCTTCAGCGGCGGCGAGAGCGACACGGGGTCCTCGGCCGAGTCCTCCCCCTTCGGGTCCCCTCTGCTGTCCCGCTCGGTGTCGCTGCTCAAAGGCTTCGCCCAGGACAGCCAGGCCAAGGTGAGCCAGCTCCGGCAGTCGGTGGGTCGCCACGGCTCCCTGTCGGCGGACGACAGCACCCCGGACACCAGCCCCGGGAGCCGGCGCCGCCTGACCCGCCGGGCACCCCCGGAACCCGGCCCCGAGTCGGGCCAGGCCGCGCGTGGGGAGCACACGGTCCACGTGGGCCCTCGGGGCAGCGTGCGGCTGCTGGCCGAGTACGAGGCCGGCCAGGCCCGCCTGCGGGTGCGCCTGCTGGCCGCCGAGGGCCTGTACGACCGCCTGTGCGATGCCCGCACCATCAACTGCTGCGTGGGGCTGTGCCTGGTGCCCGGCAAGCTGCAGAAGCAGCGCAGCACCATCATCAAGAACAGCCGTCACCCCGTCTTCAACGAGGACTTCTTCTTCGACGGCCTGGGGCCTGCCAGCGCCCGCAAGCTGGCCCTGAGGATCAAGGTGGTGAACAAGGGCAGCAGCCTGAAGCGGGACACGCTGCTGGGGGAGAAGGAGCTGCCCCTGACCGCCCTGCTGCCCTTCCTGTAGAGAGGGGCCCGCTCAGCTGGGGGGCGTGTGCCCAGGGGAGACCCCATCTTTCTCCTCCACACACTCATGCTGGGCCGGCCCCCATGCTGCGGTGGCTCCCCGATGCTGACCAGAGTGTTATTTTTCGTGAATTAATTTATTCTTTGGAGGAGGAGGAGGAGGAGGAGGAGAGGGGATGCAGGGGAAGAGGAAGGGCTGCTTCGCAGGGCTGAGGGTCCCCCTTGGCCCGGCAACGCCCCCTCGCCTCTTTCACACAGTTCCAGAAGGAGGTTCTCGGGGTTCTAGGAATGCATGGCCGGGACTCGGCCATGGACAGAGCCAGTGGTCTCCTCCACCAGGCACGTGTATTCCTCCCCACAGGCTGCACTGTCCGCTTCCCACCCTGCTGCCCATTTCCTACCCAACTGTCCGTTTCTGACCCCGCTGTCAGCTTCCCGCTCTGCCCTCCATCCACTTCCCACTCCACTGACCATCCAGTTCCCACAGCGACCCCCCAGTTCCTGCCCAGCCACCCCGTTCCCGCCCCGCCGTCCAGTTCCCACCCTACTGTCAGCTTCCCTCCCCACTGTCTGTCCAGTTCCCAGTCCACTGCTCGTCCCGTTCCCACCTTGACCCCCCCCCCCCCCGATTCCCGCCCAGCCACCGCATTCCCGCCCCGCCGTCCAGTTCCCACCCTGCAGAGAGTAGGGTCTCTGGGCCACACCAGGCTCAGGCTTTGCCCGAGGCGCCCCCTCCCAGGGGTCAGGTTGGCTCTGGGAGACCCCAGCTTCCCAGGCTCTGGTGGTGAGCGGGTCATTCGTGGGTGCCCTCCTGGGGGGTGGGAGAGGAGGGAGCAGCTTCAGCCACAGTCCGAGCGGAGACGTCCTGGCGGAGGCCGCTGATGCCAGAGGTGGGGGAGACAGCTCTCCCGTCCGGTGTTCCTCCGACGCCGTCTGCGCTCACTTTTAGGGTGCAGGCCTGTCTGGCCACTTCTGCCGCCCATCCCTCTTGCTGAGGAATGCCACCCCGTCGCCCTTCTGTCCAGCCTCCTCGCAGCTGGGCGGTGATGCGCCGTGGCTGATGGGCTGTGGCTCTGACACCACGTGTGTAAATAGACTGTGGGTGGGAGCCCAGGCCGCAGTAGGGGGTACCCGGCTGTGGCCTTTCGTGCCGCCAGGTGGCTCAGAGTGCTTACCTGGGTCCTTGAATGATTTGAGGGAGGTGGTTCCGGCTCAGAATGATGCAGAAATGATAGGACTTGAAGCACGGGCCAGGCCCGGCCAGTGCCTTCCCCTCTCCCGGCTGCTGCTGGGCACGGGGGGACCAGGGCACATCTGTGGGGTCCCTCATTACCCCCTTTGCCACACGCTGTCCCTCTTGAGCAGAGAAGGTGGAGGAGCCGCTTTCCAGGCCTGGAGGAGCAGCCGAGCCCCTGCTGACGTCCATCGGGACACACCCCTGACCCCCCAGAGGGAGAGTGTGGCCCCCGAGGGGCTGGGTCCCTTCTGAGCCTGGTGTCGCAGGGACTCCGGGGCATCCAGGGCTGAGGCTCCTCGGGCGGGGGAGGCAGGGGAGGCGCCCTGTGGGGAGAGACGATGGAGCTTGCCCCCTTCTCTGATTCATACGCCTCCAGGCCCCGTTCTCCAGGGGGTCCCCATTTTATAGCAGCCTGCACTGTTCCGTATCTTAGTGTCTGAAGTTGACTGTGGGTAAATCTTTAGGACACCCCTCCCCCAAGTGTGTTTGTTTATAAACGCTGTTTATAGTTCAATAAAGGTGTTTCGGGAATGCGGGGGTGCAGGTTGGCTTGCCTGGTGGTTTAATAATGCGGGAGTTCTGCTTTGAACTCCAGGGAGGAGGTGGAGCAGATTCCAGATCAGTGAGGTCCATGGCACCGGCTTTCTGAGGTCTCCGGGGGCAGCGGGCAGGGGCGGGGGCCGGGTCCCTGAGAAACCAGCACTACCCCCTCTCACCCCGCAGGACGGGACCCCCTCCCCCTCACGCCCCTCAGGACGGACCCCTCCCCCTCTCGCCCCTCAAGACAACCCCTGAGGAGTGTGTGGTTGTGTCACAGCGTGTGTGCTGGCATGTGCATGTGTGAGCACGTGAGCTGTGTGTGCATGTGTAACTGCGTGTGGCTGTGTGTTCACCATGTGTGCTACTGTATGCACATGCATGTGAGCTGTGTATGCATGTGTGGCTGTGTGTTCACTGCATGTGTGGCGCGTGCACGTGTGAGCATGTGAGCTGCGCATGCATGTGTAACTGCTAGTGTGTGGCTGTGTCGTGTGTGCTGATGTGTGCATGTGTAATCACATGAGCTGTGTGTGCATATGTAATTGTGCTTGTGTGTGGCTGTGTTCCCTGTGTGTGTGTGGTGTGTGCACGTGTGAGCCTACGTGCTGTGTCTGTAACTGCGTGCTTGTGTGTGTCTGTGTTCACCGTGTGTGGCGTGTGCACGTGTGAGCCTACGTGCTGTGTATATGTAACTGCGTGCTTGTGTGTGGCTGTTCCCCGTGTGTGTGTGGTGTGTGCACGTGTGAGCCTACGTGCTGTGTATGTGTAACTGCGTGCTTGTGTGTGGCTGTGTTCACCGTGTGTGTGGTGTGTGCACGTGTGAGCAGACATGCTGTGTATGTGTAACTGCGTGCTTGTGTGTGGCTGTGTTCACCGTGTGTGTGGTGTGTGCACGTGTGAGCCTACGTGCTGTGTCTGTAATTGCGTGGTTGTGTGTGGCTGTGTTCACCGTGTGTGGCGTGTGCACGTGTGAGCCTACGTGCTGTGTATGTGTAACTGCGTGCTTGTGTGTGGCTGTATTCCCTGTGTGTGTGTGGTGTGTGCACGTGTGAGCCTACGTGCTGTGTCTGTAACTGCGTGCTTGTGTGTGGCTGTGTTCACCGTGTGTGGCGTGTGCACGTGTGAGCCTACGTGCTGTGTATGTGTAACTGCGTGCTTGTGTGTGGCTGTGTTCACCGTGTGTGTGGTGTGTGCACGTGTGAGCCTACGTGCTGTGTATGTGTAACTGTGTGCTTGTGTGTGGCTGTGTTCACCGTGTGTGGCGTGTGCACGTGTGAGCCTACGTGCTGTGTATGTGTAACTGCGTGCTTGCGTGTGGCTGTGTTCCCCGTGTGTGTGTGGTGTGTGCACGTGTGAGCCTACGTGCTGTGTATGTGTAACTGCGTGCTTGTGTGTGGCTGTGTTCCCCGTGTGTGTGTGGTGTGTGCACATGTGAGCCTACGTGCTGTGTATGTGTAACTGCGTGCTTGTGTGTGGCTGTGTTCACCGTGTGTGTGTGGTGTGTGCACATGTGAGCCTACGTGCTGTGTATGTGTAACTGCGTGCTTGTGTGTGGCTGTGTTCACCGTGTGTGTGTGGTGTGTGCACGTGTGAGCCTACGTGCTGTGTATGTGTAACTGCGTGCTTGTGTGTGGCTGTGTTCACCGTGTGTGTGTGGTGTGTGCACGTGTGAGCAGACATGCTGTGTATGTGTAACTGCGTGCTTGTGTGTGGCTGTGTTCCCCTTGTGTGTGTGGCGTGTGCACGTGTGAGCAGATGTGCTGTGTATGTGTAACTGCATGCTTGTGTGTGGCTGTGTTCCCCGTGTGTGTGTGTGGTGTGTGCACATGTGAGCATACGTGCTGTGCATGTGTAACTGTGCTCTGTGCGTGGCTGTGTCACTGCTGGCGTGCTCTCGTGTGTGCGTTTGTGTTGCTGGTTTCTGGGAGCTGCGGCTGCCCACGCCCTCCCTGCTCCTCCTTCCACGTGGGCGTCATCTCGGGATGCGGCAGCTGCGTGGCATCTGGCCCACTGCCCCTCAGGTCAGTCCCGACCCCAGCGATGTCAGATGCCCTTGCTTTCTCCTGGCTGTTGCCGTTTGCTGCCTTGTGATTCTGAGCCTGAGCAGAGTGAGTCTACTGTTGGCGCCGGCAGCATCCCTGGCGCTACAGAGCGCTCAGCCCCAGCGGGTGCTGTGCGGTGAAGGGGCCATATGCGCCTGCCGGCAATCTCTCCTTCCAGCCTGGTGGCCATCCTGAGTCTCCCTACCCTCAGGAAGGCCACGGGCACAGCCAGGGGGCAGCCCATTTCATGCAAATTACAAAAAGATGCCCCTTCTTCAGAGTGGAGCCATCACAGGGAACAGAGCCGAAAGATGAGGAGTCAGATGCCTGGTGACATTGTGGACGCCTGGATCCAGCTACGCCTGAAGCCCATAACTGCACACCATTTCTGCTCAGAGGGTGGGCCAGTAAAGTCCCTTCTTTGCTCAAACAGGCTTGATTTTTTTTTTTTTTTTGCTTTGTTTTGTTTTTTGGAGATGGACTGTCGTTCTGTCACCCAGGCTGGAGGACAGTGGTGCAGTCTTGGTTCACTGCAGCCTCCATCTCCCAGGCTCAACCGATTCTCCTGCCCCAGCCTCCCGAGTAGCTGGGGTTACAGGCACCTGTCATCATGCCTGGTTAATTTTTGTATTTTAGTAGAGATGGGGTTTCATCACGTTGGCCAGGCTGGTCTTGAACTCCTGACCTCAAGTGATCCACCTACTTCAGCCTCCCAAAGTGCTGGGATCACAGGCATGAGCCACTGCGCCCGGCCCATTTTTCAAGTTGGCAGGCAGAGAACAGTCATCCAGTGAGGGGCATCACTGCCTGAGTCTGACGTGGGGGAAACGGCAGAGAAGGAAGCCCCTGAGGCCTGGGCTTTCTACATCCCAGAGCTGGGGAAAGTGGCCCTGGAATGAGGGAGTGAGCCTCCTGCCACAGAATTAATCGAAGAGAACTTTTTTTTTTTTTTGGGGGGTGGGGGGGACAGTCTCAGCTTCCCAGGCAGGAAGGCAGTGGCACTGTCTTGGCTCACTGCAACCACCGTTTTCCAGGTTCAAGCAATTTTGTCTCAGCCTCCCGAGTAGCTGGGATTATAGGCACCTGTCACCACACCCGGCTAATTTTTGTATTTTAGTAGAGGTGAGGTTTCAAGGTTTCACTGTGTTGGCCAGGCTGGTCTTGAACTCCCGACCTCGGGTGATTCACGTGCCTTGACCTCCCAAAGTGCTGGGTTTACAGGTGTGAGCCACTGCCAAGGAGAGCTTTGTGGAAGGAGCGGAATCTGAACTGAGGGAGGGAGGGGAGGGGCACTGGGGCAGCAGGGGTGTCCCCGGGTGAGGAAAGGCTCCTGGGACCCGGCGCTGATCATGGGCCTCCATCCCATCTTGTCATAGCACTAGCCCCTCTGCCCAAACAAAGCTGTCCCCTGCATCCACTGTGGCCCCTGTTCTGGAACCTTCCATGGCTGCCTGTGGCCCCTACCCTGACATCAGGACCCACCCCACGCGGCCCCCCACCCGCCCTTCCCAGGCCCCCTGCCTTCTGGCATCTCATCTCTGCGGCCTTCAGACTCTACCCCTGATGTGTGGGGGGAGCTTGGAGGGTGAGTTTCAAGCCCCATCCTCCACGTGGGGTGTGGCCCGGGCGAGCTGCATGGCTCGTCTGGGTCTCAGGCTCCCCGGGCCGTAGGCTGTGTCTGTGATGAGGCCCGGAGGCTTGTGCGTGGTACGGCGAAATCCACAGCCTCGCTGGCCCGAAGCAGACACAGAATAGCGACGATAATTGGTATAATCACATGGGGGCCGTAATTACAGGGGGCCTCAGACCCACCCGGCGGGGGCTCCCTGGGCCTCCCTGGACGGGGGCAGCCTGTCTCTGCGGCACCCACCGCCCCAGTGCCTGACTCAATCAAGCTTTGGTTTTCTTCTCAGCTCCTGGGGGTGGAGGGAGGGGCTGCCCACGGCCAGTTCCAGGATGGGAGGAGAAAAATGACTTCAATAAGGAGGAAATGGCGGCAGCCGACCAGGGCGCCTGCCCCTCACCCCGGCGAGGGCGGGAGATTCCCACGGGCAAGCCCTGGGCCCCGGCTCCGGGTGACCGGCCCCGAGCCTCGATTTACCCTCCTGTGCAGTGACATGTGGCCCTGGAGCCTCCTTCCGGGTCACGCACAGGCAGTGCCTGTTGATTAAGTCCTGCCTGGGGGGTGGGAGGACCCGCCGAATCCTCACTGAGATGCTGCCCACTGCCAACCACCCATGGAAAACTGAGGCACAGGAGGCAGAGTGACCCGCGCACACCTCCCAGCTGTCAGGCCAGGACCTCGGGCAGGACTGGACCCGAGTGCCCTTCCTGGGTGGGGCCGACACCACTTCCAAGCTCCTTCCCCCCATAAGGCGCTGGCTGCCCTGCCTTCCAGGTGAGAGGTGACCACCGCCTGGGCGGGCCCAGCCCTGCCTCGGACGCCAGGTGAGAGGGTGACCACGGCCTGGGTGGGCCCAGCCCTGCCTCAGACCCCGCCGCCGCTGTGGCCCCACATATAGTGTGGAGCTGAGCCCTGCCAGCGTGGGTCAGAGTCCTGACTCATCCCTCCGTTCCCTGTGACTTGGTTTCCCCTGCCTGCTGGTGGGGCTGGGTGAGTGCTGACCCAGCACATGTGGCACCCAGTCCTGGTTGCTGGGACAGCCCGGCTGGAAGGCCACGGATGAGACCCACACCTTCCCCCACATGGTGAAGAATCCCGTCTTGCGTGGAGTGAGGTCTGGACGTTGCCTCGGCTCTGGGAGGTGACTTCTGCCCTGCCTGTGAGGAGCGTCTCGGTCCAGGGTAGGGAGGGCCACACCAGTCAGACCAACTGTGGGTCCCACAGCGTCAGACAACCTGGGACTTGAGGGCAACCCCGTGGCAGGCAGTCAGTCAGTGGATCAGAGCCCCTCGAGGGTGTCCCTGTAGAGCTCTGGATGCCCAGGC